ATTGACATGATATTTTCTGAATAGTATTGCTTTTATTTCGTCAACACAACTGCAGATTGAAATGATCACAATTAAATTAATATTAAAGCAAGGCAATGAATATTTTTTTTTGATATACTAATATACTAATTATATTTTTGATAAGTACTAAATCAAGTTGTACTTTCTAGAAATTTATAGCAGAAATTCAACTTCTGATCTGTGTGAAAAAATGCGATTCATTGGCCATACGCCCGGCTTTTAACTTTCTAAAAATATGCGCGGCCCACCAATGACTCGCAACCTTCAATTTTGGCCTGCGAGCGAAAAATGTTGCCGACTCCTGGCTTTACTGTTGTACGAACAGCTAGCTCATATTTGTCGAATTCACAAAAATAGGAATCAAAACAAAATATAATCGACACTTTACCACGCATTTTTGGGTCACGGATTGTCATGATATTTTCTGAATAGTATTGCTTTTATTTCGTCAACACAACCGCAATGATCACAATTAAATTAATATTAAAGCAAGACGATGAATATTTTTTATTTTTATTTACTAATATACTAATTATATTTTTAATAAGTACTAAATCAAGTTGTACAACGGCGATAACAAATTCGCAAGATCGCAAATAATTTATATCAAAACTAAATATATATAACCCGGCAATATATTCTCACATTATTATGTTCGCAGATTGCCGTGGCATTTAAAAGAAGTAATGCTTTCATCTTGTCATAAGTCAACGCAACCGCGAGTGACCATGAACACAATTGAATTGTCGTTGTCAAGGATTGAATATTGTGCGACAGAAAAGGCCATTCATTTATACACTAAAAAAGTCGTCCCTTTTAACAAAGGCGTAATTGCGTTTTATTACTTCTTCACACAGAGTACGGTTGCAATAAACTCACGTTGAGTCCGCAAAGGTTTTCGCCAGTGAGAAAATAGTCCGCGTCCAAAAAAGGTTGGGAAACGCTGTACTATATGGTCACGAATCACGATATCGCTTATTGTATTTCGATTCAATTGTTTGTTACTCATGGCTCATCGGAAAGGGCTGGTAAAGCGCAGTTCGTGGAAATATGCAAATCATTTATATCGCATCCTTGTATATTACGGCACTCTGAAGAATAAAAGCTTTTACCCAAAAATGCTGTTTCACATTTTCATTGACCAAGCTCCTGCAATGTCAAAAAAGCCAGCTATCGTTCAGAAAGCCCCACGCGAACAGACTGAATAAATCCTTTCAAATGATATCTCAACAGTATTTCAGCGTGAACAGAAGACTGTAATATGACGTCCTATATCAGAGTGACTATCCAGCTGTGTTTACAACTGCGCGATAATTTCGGATCGATAACTCAGGCCTGGTTTATATCAAAATTGTCATTCACGACTCGTTTGAATAATCCGGCAGATGAAGGGCCTTTTTGAGCCCAACCTTGTTTTCAGACATAAAGTTTTTTTTAGTTGTGATTATTCATTTTGGGGTAATTGCCCATCATTTCTACACGGGTGTAGAGTTTGCAGCCTTGAGCAATTTTTTTTACGGCTTGTTATTTGTATCAGTGTTTTTCGTCAAATCTGTGCACTTTAATGGCGCACCACCTGAACCCTAACCTGGTACACATACTACGTTCATGTTGTGCGCCATATTGATGCACATACTATGGAAACACTAAATTTACTAGAAACTAAAATAAATAACTTTTAAATATTTGTTGAAAAAAATCTTACCGGAAATATTTTCAGGCGACCCAGTTTTGGATCGCGACACATAGATAGGGAAACACTGTTGAAGCATACGCATAAAATAAGGAATACTATTTTAAAATACCCGCTATTGTTACAATTAACAATACAAGTCTGCTAATGCAGTCGGCAGTGGTTCAAGTGGATTGCGCACAGTCAGGGGCGGTTTAAGCCCATTTGGTGCCCTAAGCACTGAAGACTTTGGGTGACCGTACATTTGAACCCATGCGTATATCCACGGGTTCAATCTATATGCGGGTGCTAAAACCCATGGGTTAGGGTTAGTATGGGTTTAACTATCCGTGAAACAAAAAAAATTCCATAGGTGCAATAGCATACAGGTGCAATTGTCATGGGTTCAAATGTACGTGGGTTCGAATGTAATGGAACCAAGACTTTGGTGCCCCCTCATGTGTAATTTAATTATAAAAACAAAAAACCACATAAGTGCATTATCCAACCCAATAGGATCGGCCTGGTCATGAATGGATAATCTGTGTCATAATTTGGGATTATGGCTAAATTAAATGTATTTTGGGGGGTCCATAGTATTTCATAGTGGTCTGCATGTGAACAAAACCAATTTCAAAACTCAAAATGTTTGAGTTTAAATTATCCATGCTTGATCCGAGTAATCACAACCAACAGTGAATAAAACAACTTTTACGAACATTTTTAGGTTTTTTAACTGTTATATATAGCCGATATATCGGTCGTTTACTGCCGATATATATGATATATCGGCAAACACGCAATATTAGGCCGATATATCGGTTGAGCTCTAAATTCCCGAGGGAGTGTGATAATAAAGATTCATGCCTCCAGTCTCAACGTGAATCGAAATACCAAAGGATATAAGTCACAACTGTAGTTTGAAATTTTACCGGTACTTAGTAGTCTACCTCAGGGTGGTTCAAGGATGCTAGGTTGAAGGACCGCAAAAACTTTTGAGGAGGTCCCGCGGGCCAAAAGTGATCAAAATATCGCGAGTTTACTTACTTTAAATTTAACAAACAACGAGAGTATACCGTTCTAATCAGACTATTATTATGTTGCATGGGGGGGCGTTCGCTCAAAGAAGATATTTAAAGCCTTCAGTTATTTTAAAGTTAATTCCCGAGAATTACCGTTGTATTTTGCGCATCTCGCGTTTAATGTCGCTTCAAATTATATTCTTTCGTGACAGATATTACTTGAAATCAAACCAGACACTGTGTGATGGGCAAGGAAATACGTTTCCGCCGTGTTTTCCTTATGTCACCTTTCTTGCGAGTTGCGACACTAATTTTTTTTTACCAATTTGGTATATTGAGTAATTTAAAAACTTGCAGCGTGAGCAAGCTTAGTGCCATCGTCAAATACCAACCAAGTCCGTCTAAGTTGGTGCGCGGCGTTAAGTCGGCTCTGCGTTTCGTTACTACTGTCACATGGCCGACGCTTGAAAACAGAGGAGCGTTTTTACTAAAATAAAGTCACAAGCGTCAGAAAAGGGGGTTTGAATCTAGGGATCCCAACCCCAGGTGGAATAGCTAAGAAAAAACGAAAAAGGTCCTTCATTAGATACAAATATACGCTAAAATTGTTCTGTGAGCCGCACGGAATGTATCCGCATGACAGGGTTTGGACCACCCTTGTCTACCTTATCAAAAAACTCCCGACTTCGCTGACCACTAGAAATCTCGTTGAAATGCGACCGTATAACCGCCACATTGTGTAAATAGTTCATTGGTCCAATTGTTGAAAAGAAAAAATTTTAAAACAAAAATGCAGCAACGAAGAGAAAACTAGAAAGAAAAAAACAACAACAATTTAAGAAAACGACTCATAGGCCCATTTCGTGTCCAATAAAAAAGTTTGAAGGTTAATACGATACTTGAAGACGAAAAATAAGCGAACATTTTGAAGTTTGAGTCGTCTGGTGAACTCGTAATATTTTAATAAACACCGATAAAATATATAAAATTCTGCTCTAAAATTTGTGGTGCCCCTCTTTGTTTGGTGCCCTAAGCACGTGCTTATATTGTTACTTATCGATCTTGATCGGGAAGTATGTTAATAGGTATTTGTCTGTTTGTTTGTTTGTCTGTTTGTTTGTGTGTTACGCGATATCTCACGAAAGCAAGGTTGAATCTGCTCCAAATTTTGCATGTACATCATCATATCTCGGACCAGAAGTCTGCTGATTTTGGATGAATTATGTCGTATAATTAGCGAGTTATTAATTAATTAATTAATTTTTTTTGCGGTCGATCGATGAGTCTTCGGTCTCCGACTGATATTTTTGTTTAATGGTTAATCCGGCGCTGCGCACAGTTTGAGCGCAAATATACCCCTGGTGGAGAATGGTTAGAATTATTTGTTAGCAAGGATTGTTATGCAGCGGAATGATCACGACGAGTATGTCCCTGGGAAAGAATGTAGCCTAATTCATGTTTCTGTTCCATGCCAATGCTTTTCAAACTACCGAATATCCTCATCACTTTTGCTTCTTCTCTTCTATAAAAATACATAGATATTATATATTCGCATTTCTATCTGTTTGTTCGTGAACCCAGATAACCGATCCGTGGCATCCAAGGAGGCCGGAGTTCCTTTTTGAAAAACCCTGTCAAGAGGCGACTGTGCTTCACTTGCCTGTTGTCATGCTGTCCCTCGAATTCAGCTACAACAAAAAATTCACGAAAACGGGTTTTAGATTTTATGATTTCATTAATATTCTCGACAATGAATGATATACGTGTGGCAAAATGCCTTGCAACTTACAACCAATATTTTGTATGTAACTTTGTTTCACAGTGTCCCAAGAGATCTAACGACAAATATCAAAAAAGTGAGACCAAAAAAGTTACACTACAACATAGTCAAATGTGCTGTATTTACAATAGATAACAGGTTTACCAAAAAGCATTACATGTAAAATGGTAAAATAAAGTACAATTCAGCAGTATCTACTTAGGACTTGTTAATGCATCTGTTGATGGTTTTATGTGTTTGTTTCGTAAGTTTAATGACAGAATCAATTGTGGTTGTTGGGGATGTTTTGAAAAAAGGTTGAATGGAAAAAGGGGTTTCACAAAATGTCAAGATTTGAGAGTAGTAGAGGTGTAGAAAAAATACTGTAATATAGTGACCTTTGACCCGTGTCCGTTCATGTCTGAAGGTGACTTCTAAGTTCTGTACTTATCAGGTGTACTGTGTTACATTAGCTGTTATAAGTTGGTACTGTGTGCATTAACTATTTTAAAATTATCTGTCTGGAATGTGTTCTGTTTCGAATGTGAATAAAGTCTGCGATAGCAATATAGTTGTGCGTGTATACACACCACCTTACATTGGCGACGAGGATAAAGCAACGGTAACAGTTAACGTTAACCTAAGTGGTAAAGAAAGCTAAGTGCAACCTCGAATACTGGAAAGACCTACGGAACTTAGTGTGAAGTAGAGGTCAACAGAAGTCCAGAGTCGGTGAAAAAAGTTAAAACAACTAAGTGTTGTACAGTTTCAAAAGCTAAGAAACATTCCAGAATTCTATACTGCATTCCTAAGTGGTCTAGGCTGTTTACAAGTTTTTAACCCACATATAGAAGATGCAAATCTACCAGATTTCAGATCATTTGATTGTGAAGACTTATCAAATGCTGGTCCCCGGTGGAAGAAATGGTTATCGCGTTTTGAAGTTTTAATGTTAGCCATGAACCTCAAAGATACCGAAGATGACAGAGTAAAGAAGAATAATCTTTTACTGCACTATATGGGTGCTATGATATATATGAAACATTAAAAGAAGAATCTGACAAATTCTCAGACGTAAAAGATAAACTGACATCGTATTTTGTTCCCAAGTCAAACAGTGAATATGAAAAATATATATTCCGAAATTCAAAACAAGAGGAAGGTGAAAGTTTAGATCAGTTTTGTATGAGATTGAAGAAGATTTCATTAAACTGTGAATTTGGAGAAAATCGTGATTCTGAGATTAAAAGTCAAATTATACAAGGTTGCCTATCTTCAGAACTAAGAAAGAAAGCTCTCACAAAGTCAATGAATCTCACAACATTGCTTGAGACGGGAAAAGCAATGGAGTTGGCTAAAGATCAACTGTGTGCAATGGAGAGTGAGTCAAGTATCCAAGGAATATGTGGAGTTAGTTCCTACAAAAGAAAGTGGAAAAAGAACATTTCATCCAACAATTCTAGTCATTCAAGAGATCAGACAAAGAAGCATCAAAGTAATAAAGGTAAAACTTTTCATACAAAACGAAAATCATGTTTCAGTTGCGTTGGAGTGTATCCACATGCAGAAAAGTGTCCTGCATATGGTCGAAGATGTTATAACTGTTCCAAGTATGGTCATTTTGCTAGATTCTGTAAAGAAGCGAATAGTAAATTCAACAAGCCCAAGTTGAACAGTGTGCAAAATGAGCCTAAACATGATTGCAGAGATCATGAACTGAGTGAAATGAGCTCTGAGAATCATGAATATATTCTCTCAGTGAATGGATCAATGTGTAATTGTTCCAATAACAATAATCCTGCTAAAGTACAGTTGAAAATTAACAATGTGCTTTGTTCTATGCTTATAGATAGTGGTGCAAGTGTCAATGTACTCGATTACAAAACTTTTTTAAAATTTAAAAAGTAGATCCAGTAAACCATGCAAATTGGAAACTGCAAATATTAAGCTTTATGCTTATGGAAGTAGAAAACCCTTGTCTGTAAAGGGGAAATTTCATGCAGTTGTAACTTCTAAGTGTGGCAAATGCATCAACACTGAATTCTATGTTGTTAGATATGCAAGTGGTTGTTTGCTCTCTTTCAAGACTGCTAGTGATCTTGGTATTTTGAAAATTATTAACTCTGTGTCAAATGATCGAGTCGATCTCACTGAAAATATTTTAAGGGATTATAATCCAATTTTTCAAGGGTTGGGGAAATTGAAAAACTTCCAATTGAAGTTGAATATTGATGATTCTGTAAACCCTGTTCATCAAAAGCACAGACCAGTTCCTTTTAAAATGCGTCAAAAGGTCGAAAGTGCTGTTGCTAAACTGTGTGATGAAGACATTTGTGGAAGTGTGGGAAATTGTCCTACTCCATGGGTCTCTCCTATTGTATGTGTTCCTAAACCTTGTGACCCAGAAAACATTCGACTATGTGTCGATATGCGAGCTGCGAATAAGGCAATAAAAAAGGTTAAACACCCTATGCCTACTGTTGATGAACTTATACATGATTTAAATGGATATAAAGTATTTTCCAAGTTGGATTTGAACCAGGGTTATCACCAAATTAAATTACACCCTGACAGTAGACATATTACTACTTTTAGTACCCATATTGGATTATACAGATATAAAAGATTGAATTATGGAGTCAATGCTGCTAGTGAAAAATTTCAATATTTGATTGAACAAGCATTGCACGGTTTAAGAGGTGTCAAAAACATCTCAGATGATATTTACATCAGTAGTGTAAATGAGGCTGAGCATTAGAAAGATTTAAGAGCCTGTTTCCAACGTATAAGAGACTGTGGTCTTACTTTGAATAAGAAAAAGAGTTCATTTTTCACTCGTCTATAAAATTTTTTGTGAAATATTTTTGGTGATAAAGGTGTGTCACCTGATCCAAATAAGGTTGAAGCTATAAACAAGGCTGATAGACCTTCTGATAAGCAACAAGTTAAATCTTTTCTTGGTATGTCGAACTATGTGTCTCGTTTTATACCTAATTACTCAACTATTGTTAAACCTATACAAGAGCTTACTAAACAAAATGTTGATTTTATATGAAGTGAAAATTGTGAAAAAACTTTTTGTGAATTGAAAAATAGTCTCACAAGTGATACTGTTATGTCTTATTTTGATCCTAAGCTTTGTACTGAAATTATTGTAGATGCATCCCCAGATGGACTTGGTTGTGTTTTAGTCCAGAAAGAATCTGACATTGATAATGAATATGTCCGTGTGATTGCGTATGCATCTAGATTGTTGAATGATGTGGAAAGTCGTTATTCTCAGATAGAGAGAGAAGCTCTTGCTGTGTGCTGGGCTATAGAACATTTTTATCTCTATCTGTATGGTGTAAAATTTACTGTTGTTACTGATCATAAACCCTTAGTGTGTTTTCTAGTGTGATTGCTAAACCTTCTGCCAGAATTGAGCGTTGGTGTTTGCGTTTACAACAGTACACCTTTAATATTGTACATCGTCCAGGGAAAACTAACCCTGCTGACTACATGTCAAGGCATCCCATTGAAATGCAAAATGTACATTCTGATAAAGTCACAGAAGAATATGTGAATTATGTATGCGAGAATACATGTCCCAAAGCTATCAAACTGTGTGAAATAAAAAGTGCTTCTGAAAATGATAGTGTGATACAGAATGTGATTAAAAGTTTGCAAAATAACTTATGGTATAAGTATGAAGATTGTGGAGAAATGTCTATTTTTGCCAAAATTGCCAGTGAACTTTGTGTGACTGAGCAAGGTATTTTATTACGAGGTAAACGAATTGTTATTCCGGTATGTTTGAGACGTAAAATTGTTGGCATTGCTCATGAGGGACATATGGGTATGAGTAAAACAAAATCTTTGTTAAGAGAAAAGATATGGTTTCCTGGTATGGATGCTGTGGTAGAAAATGTGGTGAAAAGCTGTGCTGCTTGTGCTTCTGTTGTGAAAGATGAGAGAATGCTCCCTTTAAGCATGAGTGAGTTGCCACAAAAAGCTTGGCAAGCTGTTAGTTGTGATTTTTCTGGTCCATAACCCAGTGGAGACTATTGTCTTGTTGTTATTGATGAATACTCTCGTTTTCCTGTTGTTGAAATTGTAAAAGCTACGTCTAATTTTTATGTCATTCCTGTTCTTGATAAAATATTTTCAATGCTAGGTTTTCCTGAAGTTGTGAAAACTGATAATGGTCCTCCTTGGAAAGTTATCAATTCAGACGTTTTATGGAACTGTGTGGCATACGTCATAGAAAGATAACTCCCTTGTGGCTAGAGCTAATGCCCAGTCCGAAAATTTTATGAAACCTTTGGGTAAGGCTATCAAGACTGCTACGGTTGAACGGTCTTGGAAGCAGGAAATGTATAAATTTTTGAGAAATTATAGAGCATGCCCCCATGTTACAACAGGTAGACCACCTGCTGAATTATTGTATGGTACTAATATTAAAGTCCTATTACCTGAAATTATTGTTCCTACTGTTGATAATGATTTACGTGATCGTGATTGTTTTCATAAGGCTAAACAGAAAATGTATGCTGACGCAAGAAATTGTTTAAAGCCGACTGAACAAATTCATGTTGGTGACTCCGTGATCATGAGACAAATAGAAGCAATAAGTTTTCTTCAGCATATAGACCTGAGCCTATGGATGTTATAAATGTAAAAGGTTCTATGATTACTGCACAAAGTCCCAATATTGGCAGTAAAACTAGAAATGCTTCTCTATTTAAAAAAGTGAATGATTGTACCTTTCGTAAGCGTTTTACAAATATCACTGGTGCTGATGTTTTACATGATAATGATATTTCTGACGATACTGCTAATTTGAATGCTGATAATGAAACAGCAGATCCTATTGCTGAAAGTACATCACCTTCTGTTCCCCCTGTTCCAAGTGTTAGAGATCGTCCTAGAAGATGTCCAAAAGTGCCAAGTAGATTTAAAGATTTTCATATGGGACGAATTACATTATTGACTGCTTAACTGTATTTTGAAACTAATGTGTACTGTGTTTTGCATTGTATTTCATGAAGTTGATATCGATATTTATCTGTGTGAAGACTTGAACTAAAAGTTTGTGTGCTGAATCCTAAAATTTTGGTATCAAGTCTTCATATGGTTTGTCGTTCATCGATGTCAATTTTTGTGTTTTTTTTTTATTAAGGTTTGGAGGGATGTAATATAGTGACCTTTGACCCGTGTCCGTTCATGTCTGAAGGTGACTTCTAAGTTCTGTACTTATCAGGTGTACTGTGTTACATTAGCTGTTATGAGTTGGTACTGTGTGCATTACCTGTTTCAAGTTTATCTATCTGGAATGTGTTCTGTTTCGAATGTGAATAAAGTCTGCAATAGCAATATAGTTGTGCGTGTATACACACCACCTTACAAATACTCCCATGTTTTCTTCATTTGATAACCACGCCACAGAACTTCTCCGTTAAATATACGCAGCAATTGCGATAGGCAGAAATGCCAAGATGGGATTTCATCGCATTGCAAACCAATATTAGCGATTCTTAGATATTTTCGCGCATTCCCATATGAACCGCGTGGAAAAGATTATACCTATCTAAGTATCTACAACACACTTAAAAAACTATGTCAGATTAGCGTCATATTATCGAATATCAGTAAAGGAATAGTGCAATGGGAAAAAACATCTAAGGCGTAACTTTCAGTAATATGCAATCAATACTTTTTTAACACCTTCTTAGAATAACTGAACTACTAATAACTGAAAAAGGAGGGATTCACCTTTAGCTGACAATTTGATTGTTACGTCATGCAGAAGTCTGCGTTCATTGGCCCATGATACCGGAAACGCAGAGAATATAGGACAGAGAATATAACACATATTTATTGTAGTAAAAGCGTCTTTTCCGTAAAACGTGCAACTTTTGTAAGTGGGAACAAGACAATATTTGTTACTCAATTTCTAAGGAACATTTTAAAATCATTTTTAGGTAGTTACCTTATGTGCGCTACGAAACTGAAAGATGAACGGCCTCGCTTTGCGGCCTACATGGTTTCATGTAAATGCCATCCTGATTAGGATAGGATAGGAATTACATATTTATCCAGGGGGAGGGGAAAGCCGATGAGACGGCTTTTTCATATGGCGAACCACGGCCTCTCGTCCGGTTACCGGTCCAGGTCGGGTATGTGATTAGTTAGCCAGTTATTTGTTTTCGGAAACATGGACTTTATGGTGGAGGAAGCTGTAACCGACCAGCGGTTACGTGAACCACCCTACGGCGGCGAGGAGTCCAGCAATCTTCTCGCACATGATCATCCCCGCATGGGATTCGAACCTGCGATCCCACGAAGGGTAATGAGAGATGCGGTGGCGAGCGTATTCCTAACGCTTAGCACGATGCGCCACACCGCCGATTATGGCCTACGCACACAAGGTGGCGGTAGTACCTATTTAATTTGCTGACGTGTTTGTCATCGACCCAGCTCATTTTACACTGTTTTGCTTCAGGTGTTTGTTAAATTTTTATCTGCCAACGCAAACATGCGGCGGGACAAAAAAGATGAGGAGGCTAGTGGCAACAATCCATTTGCCTCTATTGATCGTGCAGCTGTTCTACAAGAGGCCAGAGTTTTCCACCAAACACCAATTAATCCACGGAGATGCTGTGATATTTTGACAAAAATTATTTACCTGATAAATCAAGGTGAACATTTTACAACGAATGAGGCAACCGATACTTTCTTCGCTATGACGAAACTTTTCCAAAACAGCGATGTTGTAATGCGAAGAATGTGTTACTTGACAATTAAGGAAATGGCTACCATGACTGAGAATGCATTCATTGTCACCCAAAGTTTAACCAAAGACATGAATGGACGTGAAGACATCTTCAGGGCAGCTGCGGTTCGAGCACTTTGTACTATAACTGATGTTAGCACTTTGCAAGGTATAGAAAGATATATGAAACAAGCAATTGTTGATAAGGTTAACTCTGTTTCAAGTGCAGCTCTTGTTTCTGCTTTGCACCTGGCACGCAAAGCACCAGATGTTGTGAAAAGATGGGTGAATGAAGCACAAGAAGCATGTTCCAGTGACAATGTTATGGTTCAGTATCATGCACTGGGATTGTTGTATTATTTGAGAAAGAATGATCGTCTCGGAACATCGAAAATGGTGACCAAATTCATGAAAGGTGGATTGAAATCCCCATTTGCATATTGCATGCTTATTCGCATTGCAAGCAAATTGCTTGAAGAAGATGATGCTGGTCACGATAGCCCACTATTTGATTTCATTGAAAGTTGTCTGCGCAACAAGCATGAAATTGTTATTTATGAAGCGGCTTCGGCTATTGTAAATATGCCCAACTGTACAGCAAGAGAACTCGCTCCAGCAGTGTCAGTGCTTCAGTTATTTCTCAGTTCTCCAAAGGCTTCATTTCGTTATGCTGGTGTTAGAACCTTGAATAAGGTTGCAATGAAACATCCTTCAGCAGTTACAGCATGTAATTTGGATTTGGAGAATTTGATCACAGATGTTAATCGAAGCATCGCAACATTGGCAATCACTACTTTGCTGAAAACCGGTAGTGAAAGCAGTGTGGATCGTTTGATGAAACAAATCACTTCGTTCATGTCTGAAATTTCAGATGAGTTTAAAGTTGTTGTAGTCCAAGCTATTTCTGCTCTTTGTCAGAAGTATCCTAGAAAGCATGCGGTTATGATGAACTATTTATCATCGATGCTGAGAGATGAAGGTGGCTTTGAATACAAGAAATCCATTGTTGAATGCATTATTGCCATAATCGAAGAATCTCCAGATTCTAAAGAATCTGGTCTTGAACATCTCTGCGAGTTCATTGAAGATTGTGAGCATACAGTTCTTGCCACAAAGATTATCAGTCTTCTGGGAAGAGAAGGACCAAAGACAGCAAACCCATCAAAATATATTCGATTCATTTATAATCGTGTGATTTTAGAAAACGAAGCTGTCAGAGCGGCTGCTGTAGCTGCACTCGCTAAATTCGGTGCTCATTGTGACGATCTTTTGCCAAGTATTCTTACTCTTTTGTCACGATCTATGTTAGATGAAGATGATGAAGTTCGTGACAGAGCAACTTTTTTCCATCATGTGCTGGAACAAAAACAGAAATCTCTCAATTCTGCATACATTCTGAATGGTTTGACAGTTTCAATTCCAGCTCTGGAACGTTGTCTTTATCAGTACACACGAGAACCTTCTGAGGAACCTTTCAATATGAAATCTGTGCCATTGAAAACGATCGCCCCTGAAAGAAAACCAGAAAATATAATTTCCAGCAAACCAAAAGAGAAAACTGCTGCTTCAAGACAAGAGATTTATGCTGAACAACTTTCAAGAATTAAGGAATTTGCAGTTTTGGGATCATTGTTCAAATCATCACAGCCTGTAGAACTTACAGAGTCTGAAACTGAATATGTTGTATCATGCGTGAAACACACATTTGGAAAACACATTGTTTTTCAGTTTGATTGCACAAACACTTTGAATGATCAAGTTTTAGAAAGTGTCACAGTGCAGATGGAACCGAGTGATGGATTTGAAGTTATAGCATATGTTCCATGTCCATCTTTGGCATATAATGTACCTGGGGTTACCTACACTTGTGTAGCAATGCCAGACGAAGATCCAACGGAAGTGACTACAGCGCTATCTTGTGTGATGAAGTTTACCATCAAAGATTGCGATCCGAATACGGGTGAAACTGACGAAGAGGGCTATGATGATGAATATCTACTAGAAGATGTTGAAGTCATCGTAGCAGATCATGTGCAGAAAGTTTTGAAACCTAATTTTGGAGCGTCATGGGATGAAGTTGGTGATGAGAATGAATTGGAAGATACATATGCTTTGTCGACAATGAATACTCTTGAGGAAGCTGTACAAAACATTATAAAACATCTTGGAATGCAGGCCTGTGAAAGATCAGATAAAATACAGGAGGGTAAATCTTCCCATACGTTGTACTTAGCTGGTGTGTATCGAGGTGGACACGAAGTTCTTGGAAGAGCCAAACTTATATTGAAAGATGGAGTCACAATGCAATTGACTGTTCGTAGTACTGATAGTACAGCTGCCGAAGTGATAACTTCTGCTGTAGCTTAGTAAAAATGTATGTTTGACTGAATATCTAATTCTATTGAGACAGTAGGATTGCATATAAATATTTGTTTTTGATTAAACTGCAATATTGAAGTCACTTACAATTTATTCTTCTGGCATAATCTATCAGACTGGCCGTCATTTGTTATTCCTGTTACTTCTTTTTGACAGGGGCCCAGGGGTCTAAAATGCTTCTCCCTAATTCCTTTGCTAAACATGATTTCTTCCCGTTAGATATTATTATCTGCATCTGCATGTTTTTTACATCTCCTCACTTTAAATAGTCAATTATAAAATGTACTATATAGCAGGGCTACTCAACTGGCGGACCGCGGTCCGAATCCGGACCTTTTGGGTATTCGATTCGGACCGCGCCTAATTCTTTATTTTGGTTTATCAGCCCCACTTTTGAAATTTTCTTCTATAAAATCACTTTTATAAATTTAAATATATATGAAAAGAACTATAACGCCATAATAAACAATCTTGAATAGTTAATAATCATATAATTTCTGGAAAGACGGACCCAAATATTTTTGAAGTTTTGTATGCGGATCTTTGGTAAAAATAGTTGAGTAGCCCTGCTATATAGTGTATTATTGAAGTTCGTTCCTTTAAGAAAATTGGTTTATTGTCATGGGTTCTATAGCTTCTTCTAATAACTTAAGATTAATTTTTAACCTGAAATTGGCATTTATTATTCATCCAATTATCAGCAACTTTGAACTCTGCAGTTTTTCAAACAGACTAATACAGGTTGGAGCAAAAAAATGGAAATATATGTTTATACCTACTGAGATATACAAAGAAAATTTGATTTTTTCTAGTACAATAATGGATATTTTTTTTCATCTTTATCCGTGGAGAGAGAGGAAAGAGATAACACTGTTAATTCAGAAGGTGTGCCATGTCCGATTACCAATGTCCATGTTGGGTGAGGGCTTTTTTGTTTTGGGTGCATGGACTCCATGGTGGGGGAAGCTGTAATCGACCAGCGGTATATGAACCACTCTGCGGTGGTGAGGATTCTAGCAATCCTCTCGCACTATTATCCATTCCCGAATTCATGCAGGCTAGTCAAGAGGCGCGATGGCAAGACATACACACCACGGAGCCTAATCGAATACAAACAACTAATTTTTAAGCAGTAGGCTATGTAGATCATTTGGAGGCCCCTATAAAAGAAATATTTTGGCCATAGATGCTTTTCACCACTTTTGTTCATAACCAGACATTCAAAAGTATAGTTTCAAGGTGGCAGCTTTCTATTTTTATTCTTGATACTAAAACTTGGCCAGTCTTACTTTTTAAGAAGTAGTTCATGTTATGATATCAAGCAGGATGACAACTGAGAGATCTGTAGAACTAACTCTTAGTCTAAAGACTATCTATTGCGAAACATCTTCACCACTATAGTCTGAACTGTAACTGAACTGAATAGTCTGAGCAGGAATGTGATAGAAACAAATTAATACAAACTAATATATATTTGTCACAATAAAAAAACACAGCGAGATAAAATATGCTATGAAAGAAAGCTATTAGACTTAGAATTTCAAGTACACACACAGAAAACAAGTATCTTATATTTGTCACAATAAAAAAACACAGCGAGATAAAGTACGCTATGAAAAGCTATTAGACTTAGAGAATTTCAAGTACACACAGAAAAACAAGTATCTAACTCAGGATATCAATCTTTATATCAAGGACAAAATCATAAATGCACACTTCTATTTGATTTTGAAGCATTAATGGTAATCACTCCCTATATATAAGCTACAATGAAGCAAATAAAACAAACACAGTGGAAAATAATTATCAAAGGTTACAAATATTATTTGGTTTTGACCACAAGAGGCCCTCCTTTAATAGGTGATGAAACCCCCGTTGCAGTAATTTTAATGTTTTTCCTGACATAGTTGACTCTTGGACGCTGTGCCACGGTACGTCGGATAGAAGCTGCTTGAGTCAGTGTTGACAAGACTACTGATGGTGCCTGTGGAACCTTATATTCGGGTGTCACTCCACGTACATCATATGTCCATTGCATGTCCAGTGTCTACATGAAAAGTTACAGTGGTCACATTTTGACTCACATATTATTAAGTGGTGGTTAAATTCTCGTCACCGAATGTAAAACTGAGTTTCATTCTGATTTGAACTTAAACAAAAGGGATAGATAATATAGAGCTTGATCATAAGTTATGTTCAGAACAAAGTCATATTCTTGAAATACATCATTGTATTTTTGAAGTCTAGAAAACACTTCATCACCAGTTGATCGTAAGCCAGACAGCAATTAAATCCAGTGTGGAATTGTTAGTTCAAATCAAATAGTCATGCAAACCCAGATTACAACTTCTGTGATTAAGATTATTAATCATGCAGAAATCTTCCGCTAATAACCTCATGTAAGAGAAACGGGTGGAATCCGTGGAACAAGATCATGTGGGTGTGGTTTGCTGAACTACTCTCTATGACGGGGTGTGCTGTTCCCACAATTGCTAACTCGTTAGGGATTCTGTTATTAACTACATTCTTGCACCCCGGGTAGGGGCTCTTCCCAGATTAGACTTTCATAGAATTATGAGATGCACAAAACTGGATACACTATACTTGCTGCAGGGAATTAGTATTTATATATAATAAATAAGATACCTGAACAAGCAGTCTTGCTCTGTAAGATTTTCCATACATTGAAGGAGTAAATGTGACATGAATTTTGGTTCCTTCACTTCCCTGTGGTAACAATTCACCAGTCTGAGGACTGACTGTTAGCTCTGGATCACTGCCTTGCATAAAGAATGCATTAAACGGAGCTGGATGCCTAAAAATAAAATATTACTGAGGAAAAACAAAATTATTGCTCATGACCAGGGCATAACAAAATTTGAAAATGTAATCATGGCCTGGGAAATTCCCTTTTTCAAACTGGACATGCACAATGGAATTGAGTGGTTACTTTTTGAAAACTTCTATGGCATTTGGATACTAAGAAGATTACATCCACGTTCATCCAAATGCCATATGAATTAATGTGAAAGCAAAATGCTGTTTCAGCAACTTAACATTATTAAACAAACACTTCTTACACATAAACTTCATTTAACAAGCATTACAGATCTTGTTACAATTATAGCTATATTCATTGTATTCCGTCACACATGCCATGTTCTGCCTACTTATAGAGGTAAAATCACAAAATTATTAGCTAACCTTGAATGACTATACAGAGTAAAAGCCACTGTTGATGGTTTCCCCAATCCTGCTGCTTCTAATGTGATGATGTCATCAGCTGGGCATTCAGATGATTTAACCATGAGTGGAAATCGCCAGACACCCCCAGTAGCTGAGGTTACAGTAAGAGTAACGGTGTGACTGAAACATATATACGTACATATATAAATGCCATAATAACTTAAAAAAAAAGATTTAAATCGAGAAATTAATGATGAAGCTTTCTGCACTGCATAAAAAATTCACATACCTCCACTCCAGGTCATGATTGTGGTAAAACTTGGTATTCACATATAGCAAAAATAAAATATCTTATCCAGTAGTTAAAATCCAAGCAAAACACAGAATATGAATAACGCACTGTAAGCTCAAAACAAGGCATTCAACTGAATGGCTTTTAGTCATGTGGAAGAAATACTTTAGTTAAGCATCCTTACCTGAATGGTTTGAACGGAGCAAATATAACATTGAAAAGTAGAGTTACAAGTCCTGAATGTGGATCTCTTTCTTTTCTAACAAGACTCAGTGCAAGTGCTGGCTCGAGTATATGTTGAACTTCTTCAGATGGATAATCAACAGAAAATGAAAATTCTTCAGCAACCATGTGACCTAAAAATATGAAATAATTTGTGTTCAAGAGTAGGGTTGCCACTTCTGGATACATTTTTTTTCGAATCGAATCTCGAATCAAAAGTTTTCGAATCGAATCTTTCCGAATCTGATTCCATTAAGCTTTTTTTTATTGCATGCGTATGTTTGCTCAAAGTCACAAAAAAGCTCAAATCTGGAAGAGAAAAACTTGAAAATGGAATACGCTATATAGCAAGGATGATAAGGGTTTTTCAGTGAAAAAGCCACACTTATTTCCATCATGATAAAAAAGATGTAGGTCATAGATATCACCAATAAATGCATTGATGAAAAACTTGCAGTTGCAACTAATTATCTGTGAGTCTTATAATACTGAGTTATTATTGTATTATACTTGTATCAGGACTGAGGCAATTTGATGGAATTCATATGAGAAAATAAGCAGGGAACAGTTGTACTGTTATGTCATAAACACAGTAACAGCACTGCTTTCCCTAGTCTCACACCATTCACTTCTTGTTATATTGAACTAGGGCCGGCGTTAATACCGATTCTTTATCTTTAAAATTTTAGTACAATATTTTATATTTATGCTAGCAGCATAGGGTAATAGGACAAAAACATTCTATTTGCATCTCAATTACTATGAATGGGAAATGCTTGCAAGAATATGATTGGAGACGATAAAATTAACCATGATTAAATTACATTAATTTCGAGAAAAACAATCGTTCACCCGACTACGATTGCAAACAAAAATTTCTATAAATATTTGAGACAATATTATTTGTTGGCTAACAGCGTTATTGGCTATCTCAGGCTTCATTAGTATCGTGGATTACGTTTAATTTCGTAATTCAGAAAGTCCGAGTGTGCATAATGGACGCCGTGCTGACGAGCGATAATTGGTCGGCGCTTTTTCTCGATCAAACATAGTCGCTGGGGCTAATGCAAGACGACATTTGCACAGTATGCTTGGTCTGGTATGAATTCTGGCACGTGTTGATGTAAAACAGTGCACAAGTTGCCATTCCTCAAGTATTATTTACTCCCACCTGTCCGTTATGACATTTGCTAGAAATAATCCGAAATGTTTTATTCCCGCTTGTATCGCGCTAACAAAATTAAAAGAAAAGATTACATTTCTCTTAATGTAACAGCTGGACAAAGAAACGTATGTTATGTTCCTCTCATTTTGTTTACCGCCCGCCACGCGAGTGGAAGGCCTGACAAACGCAAAAAAAAATAAATATATATTTTAGGATGAGAAACATGATTGTCAATTAACATTGCCGGCCGGTGAACTCATTCAGTTATAGTTCTCTTCAAATGTACGCGAGATATTTCACTCAGAACAAAGTTTGAATTAAATTTGAATCAAAATTAAGTATTATCTAGACGTCGGTAACTGATTCTTTATCCAATCATGCCAGGACGTACAATAACTTGGTCGCAGAGCAGGTGTGCTGTTGAAAATTTTCATCAAAATTGTCACGAAATTTTAGGTATACAATCTATTTAAATTCGCGCATAATAGAAACTTAGGCTATTTAGTGGAAAACTGAACTCGCAGTTTGATGGAAATTATGCCACACATCATCTCGAGTGATGCGTAAAAGAGTGTGTTGTGCCGAACTTGAAACAAATGACGGCAGATAAGTAATAAAGTCAATCACGAAAATTTCATTTTCATTATTTCCGTCCCGTAATTTGATGTTATTTAGACTGCCGCATAAACGCATTAGGCAGTTTTAACGTCGCCGAAAGCAACGATTAACAAACGTTCATTTTTTTTTTCGGGAAATCGCTCTCTTTTTCCGAATCGCGTAAATCTGATTCGAATCGATTCGGAAAAGATGCGATTCGAATCGATCCGATTCGTAAATCCAAAAGTGGCATCCCTATTCAAGAGCGAGTATAAAAAACTTGATAAGAACATAGAAACAGAAGCTCTGCATAAAAGAAAATATGTCATTTACCCAAGAGTTCCCCTGCAAGTTAAGTTAATGATGACTAATGAAGCAAAAATATCTTTTTTTTTGGCCCCGCAAATACAAGTACACAAATATAAAATGATGCTGACAGTCCGTACCATCTACAGCCACTCCTTCTGACATCATGGTTCTTGTTTCTCTCAGTTTATCAAGAGGAGTGACTGCACGCAATCGAGCAAGTTCATGTGTAGAAGAAGAACTTGGTACAGCACCAGTCAATGTCACCTCTAATCTTTCTTCAATACGACTGCGAGCTTGACAATGCAAAATTGCTTCTGTGAGAGTGCAAGAAAATGGTTCAGTTAAAGGGCAATTGACAATTTTGGGTATGTAAGATTTGGCTCTTCTATTTTTACTTTTAAGGAAATGATCTCTATATTGTCAAATTCCAAACAAGTGTATACACAAGATATACGGAGCCGGCAAATCTTGTAAAACTTCCATTTGTACCTTTGCTTTCTTTAGTTCTGATCTCCGGAATTCCATGAATTGGAAAAACCCATCTTATTGCTTTGATTGTGCCATCATTATTTCTACTGAGAGGTCTAATTTTTTCAAAGTCTTCACGGCTATCATCCAGTGTACTGGTGCCTTAAAAGATATGCTTGTTTCATTCAAACAGCCATTTTAAATGCATATTGAACAGTATAAAATAATGTGTTTCTATATGTAATATAAAACATTGAAAATAAATTTATTAAATATCAAAAATAGAAAGTTACCAGTCAAATCTCCAATTCCAGTATTTACATTGTTCCATGGTTTTTCATCTTCTCTTCTTAATGCAATTGTTAATACTCCTTCATATAATCTCATCTATAAAAATAAAGTTGAATTAAATGAACGAATTCATGCAATAACTTAATTGTCTGAAGTAATTAAGTGCATGCATGAGAGTTGAGCATGTTGCTAAGCTCTCAGTAGAGCAGTTAAGATATCCATGAGTTCGAGTCTTTTTCATTTTGATGATATCAAGCTAAATTCAAAGACTCAATCAGTATGAAATTCAGTTTTGAGTTAAGCCAAATTGAACAATATAGGTTTTAAGAATCACAATTGGTTAACTTGTTAAAGTGATGGCTAGTATGTTTTATACATAACATATTAATTAGCCTCTCGCTTCAAATGAGGCTATGGACAAGTAGCCACATAAGTATAAATGGATATTGTCAGCATAAAATAAATTTACTTCTAAACATACAATGACCAATCCATTTAAAATCAGATGCAAACATCTTTCAATGAAAAGAGATTACAACAAACACTACTCTCTGAAATGAGGAAAACTAATGCATGAATTAAATCTCAAATCCCTGAAAATTACAGAAGTAACCTAAGCAAAATTCAATATTGATTAAGATGTTGGCATCTCAGACAAATGCTGGTTGATGTAAGACTCGAATTCAGAAAACTTTTAAGTCAATCCATACCTTATCGGGTGAAAACGTGAATGGAATATCGATCGATTGTTTTGGTTCTAATCTGATCCCACTTGTGTGTTTCAACAAAAGACAAAATGAGGAATCCATTGTAATGTTGTTTCTGAAATTTTTGAAAAAACTTAAATTAGACAATTCAGGCTGGCAGTGATGTTAACAAGCTATTTTAAACAAGATTTGGTACATTTATATTTCAATATGAATAAATATTCATGGCCGTAATAAAAAAAAAACAGACTTTACATTATTACTTTATGCTCAGACACATTGTATTATATAGTATTGTATTATTTTAAATTTACTTTTCAAATATACTACCGGTACATAAAATGCTAAGCTACTTTTTTTTATTTTAACATAGCCTCGCTGGTACATTAGTCTTGCTTCATTAGAGTCGCCATAAGGACTAATAGTCCGGCAGATAAGGGGACCTTTTTGGCCCAAGTTTGATTTCAGACATAAAGTTTTTTTTATTTGTGATTATTCATCTTGGGGTCATTGCCCATCATTTCTACACGGGTGTGGAGTTTGCAGCCTTGAGCAATTTTTTTTACGGCTTGATATTTGTATTAGTGTTATTCGTCAAACATGTGCATCATAATGACGCACAACCTGAACCATAACCTTTTACAATACTATGTTCAGGTTTGTGCGCAATCTTGGTGCACAAACTACGCAAGCACCAAATTTACTTTGAAATAAAATCAATAGCTTTTAGGTATTTATTGAGATATTTGTATTAGTGTTTTTTGTCAAACATGTGCATCATAATGACGCACAACCTGAACCATAACCTGTTACAATACTATGTTCAGGTTGTGCGCAATCTTGGTGCACAAACTACGCAAGCACCAAATTCACTAGGAAATAAAATCAATACCTTTCAGGTATTTGTTAAGCCCAGCTTTGGGTCGCGACCCATATACACTATATGGAAATACTGTCGAAACATACGCGTAAAGTAAAGAGTACGGTTTCAAAATACCCGTTTTTGTTGCAATTAACAATACAAGCCTGCTAATGCAGTCGCCAGTGGTTCAAGTGTATATACACCCGGTGGAGAACAGTCAATTATTTGTTAGCGAGAACTGTTATGCAGCGGGATGATCACGACGACGCAGTGTTTTTTTATTTTTTTATTTGATAACCACGCCACAGAACTTCCCCGATAAGTATACGCAGCATTTGCGAGAGACAGAAATGCCAAGATGGGATTTCATCGCATTGCAAACCAATATTAGCAATTCTTATATATATTCGCGCATTCCCATCTGAACAGCGTGGAAAAGATTATACCCATCTACACACTTTAAGAACTATGTCAGATGAGCGTCATATTATCGAATATCAGTAAAGGAATAGTGCAATGGGAAAAGACATATAAGGTGGAACTTTCAGTAGTATGCAATCAAATAATCTTATTGTAGAATATATATTTAAAAACATTTCGTCACGCCAACTGCAGTCCGAAACTTTTTTTGGGTCTGGCTGAGCTTTGATACCAATTGGCACTCATGTTAACTGGTAAGACTGTAGGAGGCACGCGATGGAGCAGATACTAAGAGTATCCATCCCCCAGCTGTCATTTGAGTGGGTACTGCTGTTTTTATTGCAGATGTTACTGATCTTTTTGTATTAAAGATTTACTGGCATCACCGATTTAAGGATGTTGGAAACCAACACGCAACATTACAAAACTTACTTTCAACACGCGGTTTGAATGAATGAAAAAGCTGAAACTATAGTGTTCTTTAGAACAGCATACAAATTCTATGGAATGAAATCATACACAAAATCTCGTCAAAAACCTATAGCTCAATAATCAAGTGAAATTTGATGCATGTGCGCAAAAATGTGCGTGTTACTATATGTACAACCAAAGCACGCAGGAAAATGTGTGTGATGTACTAGTATTCAAAACGTTTGACTCAACTATGTTGGCATAACAGGTGCACATCTCGGTTTCGCATAAGCATACCTTTCATCTCCACAAGGATATATTAATTTTGCCAAAGTCAATGCAGCACTGAAAGGTTGCGGTTATTCCAAAAGAAAACACGTTACACATCTTTAGACACCAGTGGATGGTTTTACATGGCCTTGTTCGGAGTGAAAGACGAGGTCAAATATTCCAATCCAATTAATAAAATATTTCCCAAGTCCCTAAGCTTAAACTAGGAAAACGAAATGCGCGCGGCAACGCAAATTTAGTTTGAAGAGCGAAATAGAAAGTGGCTAGATGATCGTGGCTTGTATTAGTGAAATAAATTACCATTTATTCTACTAAAATTGATTTCTGACATTGTAAGGAGATTCAATGTTACTATGTATGCAAAACTAAACCATGTAGTTATGAAATAATTGTTTTTAACAAAACGGCGCTCTTGAAATATTCGTACCAAGATGGCGCACAACCTGAACATCGTATGTTCACCAGGTTAGGGTTCAGGATGTGCGTCATTTTAGGCCGAATACTTTAAATCCACTTAAAAAAAATTGCTCAACATTATATACTCCACACCCACCTGGGTATCATTATATATGTCATATACATTATATCTAAACAATAAAAAAAACTTTATGTCCCAAAACAATGTTGAGGCCCGATTCTGCCGGACTATAAGATGTAAAATCCTATATTAACAAATCTGGAATCATACCTGATAACAGAATCAGAAACTTGATTCAAAGTTTGATCAAAATCAGAAAGATAAACATCCGCATAGACACCAACATCAGTTGGATTACGGAAAGGTAAAATAAGTGACGTGTTTGATCCCACACTCGCACTGACACTGACTGGTTCCATTGGTTTTGGTACTAAACCTTGACCACTTATCCAATACACAATTTTTCCAAGTTCTTTTGACATCAGTGTAACTGTGAAAAATAAAGATAAATTATCATTTGTTCTTGATAGAAAAAATTTAGAATAAGGAATTGTAAATCAAATAGTTTTTCATGATTGTACATTTTACTTTCCTTTTAAATATTTGAATCACCATCCCAACTATTCATAAGCAGTGATAAATTCGAAGATACACAAAGACATTCAATTATTATCATACAATAAAACGCTTCACACAGTCTCTATATCCACATGGACTTGAATTGCTCAAGTCAATTCCACATATAATGAACCCTATAATAACCCTATTTTTGACTCAGCAAGCGGTCAGAAAAAATATTACCAGTAGCTTCATGGTTGTGCCCACCGAGAGACGTAGGCATAAATTGAATAGGAATATCAGCTGTGGAACGAGCAGGAACCCTTATAACTGGTTGCTCTTCCTCAACATCCATATCAAGAGAAAAATTCAAATTATTGTTCAGTTCTGCAGTTATTTCCATCGGTTTTTGTGTTGTGTTTGTGACACTGATATATTGTCTTGTCCATCGACCTGAAGAAGATGATTGTTCAATTAGATTATATGAAACAAATAAACCTAAAACCAACTGTAAGACCTTTTGTGCAAATTGCTCAATTTCAAAGAGAATGATTTTTTAAACTGCATTGTAAGAATGTAATGTTATAACCTCATTAAATTTATATAAATACGCAAAGCATGAATAATATACATAACCTTGGTCATAATAATTTAAAATACAGAATATTGATTGACTGAAGTAAAGTGAAATCTTAACAAACAGAGTTTTTTTCACATGCACTGTGAATAACTGATCAAGAATGTACCAAATTTTTTTGTACACCTTTTTTGTGAACTGCTCAATTTGACATATGCTTGATAAAGATCCTTCACACCTTACATAATCTAATCACCACTCACTCACTCGAGAAGCACTTCTCATTGCACCTCTGATAACCAATTAGGAGCAGGTTCGTAACCCATGAGGGATAATTATGTATGAGAGAATTGCTGGCCTTCTTGCTGTGTAATCATCTTCCCGTTCTTTTGAGATAAATACAAAAATCTTGTCCTTAACATCACAGTTAAAGTTTCCTATTTCACTATTCATAACTATAGATGCCGAAAGAGCAATGTATTCCTGTACCTAGTTCACATTCCATTCTTGGTATAGTAACAGGAGAAGGTGAAACTGCATGAAGATCAAGTTCATACCAGAATTCACCAGTCAGATCACTTTGAAAGACAACACTACCAGATCCTTCACCAACAACTTGTGGTGAGTAAGTTAATCGATATGTTGCTGGAATTCTAGGCTGAATTTTCAATGACTTATCCCCAGAAAGATCTTGGCCATTGTATGACACCTGAAATGAATGAGTAAATAAATCATATGCTAGCATGTTATTGACAAAGAAAATAGTAAAAAGTGAAAACAATGTGTAAAATAAATATGAAAAATATACCGTAATCTTATTCCACGAAATAGCATGTAGTCTATATTTGTGAGTTTTCGACAGATCATAGTCTAACCACTTCAGATAAAAATCATAAATATTGAGTCAAGTTACTATGTTAGAAATTGAAAAATGTAGGGATGGAGGAATTTGGTTTGTCTCGAATTGGCTATGTAAGCTGATTGATGTGAATGAATTCTGGGTCGGCCCATTTGCATGATTCCATTGTTTATTTTTGAGCTTGTTTGCTTTGTCGTTGTTATCCTATGCCAATGCGTGTCATTTTGTTTTGTATTCGTTTTGAGTCCTTTTTTTCAATTAAGTTTTGGTCTTTAACATTAATTCATTGGGTTTTCAAGTTTTCAGTTTGTTTGTCCAACAATGTTTTTCATTCCTAGTGTAGAGTTCACAGTTGATGAATGTGTAAATGTGAAGGACACTCAAGTGACTTAAAGTGTGACCCTTGATGTTGGAATTATTTGCAACTGGTGTTGAGGCCTTTCTCTGTATAGCCTTGAGATGCTTTTCAAATTTCTCCCATACTGCAATCCATTCACATTAATCAGCTCAGATAAACAATATGAGACAGTCCCAATTGTTCCATCCCTGCATTTTTTGAATTCTATGATATGAACTTGACTCAATTGTTAAGATCTCTATCTTTTGCAGGTATAACATGTATTGTATGGAAAGGTTAGAATATAATCTCACGCTCGCCACTGCTTTGTTGAATACGCTGCTTGAGTCCACAGCTGGCCAACTAATCCCATACTCGACATGGACTGGGAACCGGAAGAGAGGCTGTGGTTTGGCATATGATTTAAGCTTTACTCTCATCCTCCCCGGGATAAATATGTAAAATCATATCCTATTCCATGGGAAGAGATTATGTTTTTCTTATTTATACCTTTACTACTATCTCATTCAACCCTCCTTGAGGCAAAGGCCACATACAAATCCAAATCTAGAAGGAGACAAGGAGAAAGGATTCGCCAAGAGCAGTAAGGGATGCTGGTAGTACTTTCCGCAACTATATTTTATATGACTGGCAGTTGAATTGTTCATAGCGTTGTTTGGAGGTGTGATTGACCATAGAAAACGGGTAAATTGAAAAAATCACACTTATTTAGATAGATATTTATTGGACATAATGTACTAACATTGAATGTAATAGGATCAGTGGTCGGATTATTGATAGGAATTTCTAGAACTGATGACTTTTGAGCAGGACAAACAATTTCAATTTTCTTCTCTGGTGGTGGTGGAGATGCATCTATCATTATAGTGTACCAAACTCTGTGAGAAACAGAAAAAATCAATATCTTATAAGGGGATACTCAAGTTCGTTTTTTCCAGCAAAAAAGTAGCTTTTGACAAAAAAAAATATTTTTACTTGAGTAGCCATGGGGAACTGAAGCTGGTGTTATCAAGCAGAAACAATATAATAAATATCTAGTTGTAATATCTAGTTTAAATTGTTTTTAAAACTCTTTTTTTTTTCATATTTGATTTGAAAATTTGCACATCTGTAACTAAATTTGTCAGAACAGCAAACAACAGTCAATATGGTCAAGGAAGGTATGTGATATCAAGGTTACTTTTGTTTGACTCAATATGATAGGGACAGTCAGGTGAAACAAAAGCATGTTGATGTACTACGTCGACAATTTATATTTGGCTAAAAACTTGAAATTGAAATCCCACAAGAATAATGAAGGGCCTTTCTCTGGTTTCCCAGTTTTCTAATTTGAAATATATCATATATATATCATACGAATAATAAGATCCAACTAGTTACATAACTCTTCCATGAAGTACGGTATTTAAAATTAAATTTCTCAAATTATTTGAATAATAATAAAATTTTTTTTTTTATAATCAAATTCTATTAAAGTCAACAAATTGTTGCGTAGAGGTGTTTTTTCAAATTTTGTTTATAGGCATCGAACTACATGTTTTTAATGCAATAAAATTCAGATTAAATCATATTTTTTGTATATCCATATTATCTCATATGCCAAGACTCGTTGTATTCTCAAGCTGTTTATTGCAGAATTCTGACCTGTAGCTACTGTCACAATCATTGCTTTTGTTAATTTTCATTGGTGATGCAACAATGACATCTGATTTCATTATTTTATCTTCACTCTCTCCTTCATTCTCTGAATCGGAATCATCTTCTTTTATTTGTCTCGCACTTTCAACATTATCTCCTTGAAATGTGATTGTACCAATATATTCCCCACGAGACCACGGGCATACTGTAAAAGTGTAAGTTGCAGTCTGACCCTGGTAAGAAAATGTTTAATATGCTTCAAAATTTGACATAGAAAAATGGTGCAAATACTAGGGATGTTCAAGGCTTATAGTTTGTTAATTTAAAAGAATGCTTCTAGTGATTCTATTCAATTTTAATATATTCTCAATTTTGCTAATATGAGGACAATCCTTCCCTTCCAGAGTTCCACTTTGAATATTCAAAATATATCTTTCCTGGACTTTATTGATTTCAAATATCAATTCAAGATGTTCATGAAATGAGCCAGAACTCGAGGTTGAGATGTCAACATATAACGTCCAGCTTAATTTGGCAGGTTGTAGCCAACTCTCCTAATATACAAGACTACACTTACAGCTAAAACAGTTACTGTTGAGGGTCCATCCAAGAAAGGAATATCAGAGAGGACTTTGTAAATAATTTTTTTCTGCGTGTAGTTTGGAACATCAACAGATCTATTCATTGTTTTCCGACACTGACACTGAATCTCTAATGCAGCAAGAGCAAGAGGACGTTCACCAATACCACGTAAAAGGAAGACATGCTCTGTTCCATCAGATCTACGATAAATATTGTAAATTTCGTTTAATTTAATATGGTGAAGAACGTAGTCAGAATAATGATGATGTCGTTGAAGACTTGATCAACCTGATTTCAGCTGACCAAATGCTATTTATATGATTGTATTTGTTTAGAGCAGGGCTGAGAGGGAAGGTTCACAGTATATTAAATTTTCTACGTCGGAACTGTGCTTCAGCTTCATAACCATTGGGGTTTTCAAGTGTACCCATTACCATGAAATATCTGCCCAAATGTAGTTTCATGAAAGCGGGACTTAAAACTATGATAAAAGGGTTTCAAATTTCAAAATTCAAATGTATAAATTCAACCTGATTTTTTCGAAATTATAATATAAATTAAAGTTTGAGAAAATTTATAAGGTGAAAAGGATGGATTTTATTATTTATAGTGTATTACAAATTATAGATGCTAAAAAATATTAAGATGGTTTTGAGTGGGAGCCGGAGCTACTAGAAATTTCAGTGGCTCTAGCACTTAAACATCTTATTATTTTTGTACATTCATAACTTAGTAATACACTACATAAATAATAAAATCTATCCATCTAACATGGTAAGCAACTAAGCATGGCTCCAGCTCCAGCTGATTCAAAGTTTTACAGTTTACACTATATCTTGGCACAAATACGCATGCTGATTTCTTCTGTTTTCACTCAAGAAATCTAAGAGTTCTTTTACACTTTTGCTACAAATAAGGCTCTCAAATAGCATGCACTGATATAACCATCCAGGGACGTAGCCACAGGGAAGTTGAGAGTCAGAATGTTCCACAGAGATGACGATAGTTACTCTTTGGTTCCCGCACTAAATTGTGAGTTTGTTGTAAAAAACGAATTATTATACAATAATCATCGGCGACAAGATATTTCAACCGAAAAATTTTGAATGAAATGCGCATTGTAAAATACTAAAAATAAAATGAAGGGAACCCCTTTTTTTGTTTTAGGAAGCCCGAACAGATAAAAAATTGAAAGTTTCGATTCCGATTCTTGAACCCCTCTTTTTGAAAATCCTTGCTACCCTCCTGTAACCATCAGTCAGTCTATCTCACAAGTGCAGGAAGGAATTATACGCTAAATAGGAAATTATTGTGAGAATTACCTTTTTATGTTAAAGGAATACACTCTGTTATAACCATATATATGATTAAAAAATAAGTTTTGGTATGAACCAATATGAAAAGTGCTGGTTTGATATTATTGACTATATTTGAAATTATTGACTATATCAGCAATGTGTTGTTTTATTACCTGTTTCTTATTATCAACTTGCCACTGATATTGCATTCAAATTGTGGTTTGAATGTTAAAGGATAGTAAGTAGTAGTTTCACATCGGGCAAGTAGGAAAGAAGGTCCCAAAAATCCTTCACCTTGCAATTTGCATTCAAGATTCCAGTCATGGTTTGATGCATTTTGCTATTAAAAAATAAAGTTTTTTTGACACGAAGATTTTTTTCCCTAACAAAAAACAAAGCCAGCATGACAATGCTATATTGCTAAATGATAACCATTAGAGATTGGTGGTTAGCCCAAGTATAAGGAATAATTTAAAGCGCCCCAGAAGTATGTGTACCAATATGGAGGTAACTAATTTTGTTCGCCCATTTTACATCAAGTTGTGTAAAGGACAGACAAGGGACAAACACAGACAGTCCCCCCGAACTCGTAAGAGAACTAAAATAAGGAAAATTGGAATAAAATTATGCCCTAACCCTAACCTGGTACACATACTACAGGAGTACCTATTTTACAACTGATACACAGTAGCGTCTTTTCAAAAAGGACATTCGAATTCATCAAGAACAGAAATTTGTTGAATTTCGTTGAATTCGTTGAACTGATTTTTTTCAGCATTTCGTTTCTGAGCAGATTGACAGCATAATTTCCCTTTCAAGACTTTAAAACATTTGTTCAATTTTAATATAAAACTTATGGTTTTATAAGAGTATGTTGAGGGTGATTGTTTAACCACTAATTGAAATATTGAAAATATAGAACAGGATTAAATTTGAAAACAAAATTATGTTTTGGGATATAAATGAACCAGAGAAAAATGTTAAAATTTAGCATCCTCATATAGATATATCCTTCAGTCACAGTAACATATTTTAAGATATTTGGAGTTCCTTTTGAGTATGGCCATGGCCATGAAACCAATCAATGTCAGTGAGCAATTTCTGAAAAAAATCTTACAATTGGTATATTTTGAGTCACAGTTTGGTGAGCAGGTGTTCTAAATTCAAAATGAGCCATCGTTCCAGCAGGTGTCACTGTGCATTCAATTCTGTACACACGTATATCATCCAGGGATCGCAATATAATATCACATGGATAATGCCCAGGACCTCGAGGTTTGAATTTAACTTTCAATGGTACTGCACCGTCATCCTGTTAAATTATAACATTTAACTCTATTATAAGAGAAATGAAGCAGCAATCTTTATTGAATATTACAAATATCATTTTCAGATGCCTTTTCCATGAAAAGTTGAATTCGGGTTAAAGTTGAATATTATGTGCCCGAAAAGACGGCCTCCATAATCAGGCCAAAAAATTGGGTCCTGAAAAGCGAATCAGTACTCGGAAAATACGATAAACCCAGATCTTTAGTTGATAAGCTACAACAAAATGAGGTTTGATTAAAGCATAAAATACTCAGACAGTGACTGAAAGCTTTCCTATCTCCAGCGCTGATAACAGGAATAAATTTCATTTATTTCCAGTAAAAAATTCATACAATAAATAATCATAATGTTTACCTGTCTATCATTGGGCCCATATTTTGATCCTTTAATTTCAGAAGCTGGTAGAGGACCAAATGTCATAGGTGATGGAAGAGTAATTGTCGCTGATACATCAAAACAATCAGATGATGCTTCAACACTGAAGAGAGTACCAAGTGGGAGGGGAGGAGCTGATTGAGGATGTGTTGATGCTCGTGGTTGAAAGTCTGCAACGTTGTACAGTCCCATTGCTGCAATATTCGCTGTTACAGTGCCACTGTTGAGTGTTCCTGAAATTGATATAAAAGAAATGCTTTAAATAAAACTCGGAAATTCTGTTTTGTTGGTGCAAATGGGAAAGGAAATTTCAATCATTTCAATATAAGTTTCAAAACCACACTAAAACAAAAAGACTATTAACAACAACTGAAATACTTCAAGCTTCAAAACCGTCAAAACACAAAAAGAATTTGTACCTTGAGAATATTTAATACATATATATAAAATAATTTGCTTCCATATTGAACGCAGAGAGAATACTATATTTATGTCAGCTGGTAAACATGATACATAAATATCCACTGCATAACCCTTGGACAGAACACTGAGCATATTTATGCCAGTGGCTTGCTCAGAAATTGATTCAAATTCATGTAATATTGGATGAAAAACTATTTATATTATGCGATACTTCAATACCACAACCAACCAGTCAATAATCTTCTCTCTTTTTCCTTATCAGACATTCTTTGTTGTGCAGCGATTACAAGTGCATTTTCTTTCGCTTCATTAGTAACAGGTAACAGTAATGTTTCCTGAAGTTGTGTACCAGTTTCACATTTCCAGTATACAATCTTTTCATTTCCACCAAATAGTCCTTTTCCTGGAACAGTACAGAATCATAGCAGTATGATATATAAATTCAATTTAATCTAAAACGGTTTGCTATTTCTCAAAATTATTCAAATTTGAATACAGGGAGTCCTCGGGTTACGACGGTCGAGACTTACGATGTTTCGAGGTTACAAACGTGCACTCCATAACGCTGTTTCGAGGTTACGACGCACTTTACAAACATATACAGATATAAAAGATAATACTGTACTGTAATATCTAAGCATATAAACTGGATCATTGTGATTAGGGGTGGGCAAAATCGAATATTTTTTTCGAATCGAATAGTTCGAATATTTTTTACGAATACCGAATAGTCGAATATTTTTTTTGAAAATACAACGGGGGTCCGTCGGAGGTCGATACTCCCTTCGAAAATTAGAAGAAAATTTGAAAAGTCGGCAACAAAGCGTTTTTTATTTACTGGTTAAATTCATTAAAATCGCTAATTGTTTTTGTCGCCGCGATCCTAAAGTTCGTAATCTGTGTTCCCGCCTGACTCATTTTTTTGAAAGTAAAATTCTTGCGGGTCGGCGGACATCGAAGTTTTATATATTAGGTATACCCGTGCGTTGCCGTTAGAAATTTTTTAAAACTGTAAAAGTCGCCAATAACGCGTGCGATAGCATTTTGCTATAATCGCCGATTGTTATTATCAGCGTGACGTGGTATTTAGGCGGTAAACAACTTGTGTTTACTTGTTCTATGTTGGTTTTATTTTCTCTAAATCAAAAATTTTCCACAACGTTGTGCGACGTTAACGATGATAATTATTTTATTTTTGTACACACACGGAATTGCGAATCCGGCGATAGTTTAATTAATATTTCTGAGTTTCTGAGGACAACGCAAATTTTTTGATTGAAAAGCGGCAATATAATATACTGAAAATAAGCAGATCAGGATTTTTTGATGTTACTAGTCCTGAAAATAAGGAAATCAAAGCTTTATATGTTCGAGCAGTTTACCACACTTTATGTTCGCAGATTGCCGTAGTATTTTAAAATTGTGAAGATTTTATTTTGTCGACTCAACCGCTGGTTAAATTGAAGACAATAATAAAGCAAGACATTTTAAATATGCCCTAATCGGTCACAAATTGATTACTTTGCACAACAGAAAACTCATTATTCATTGTAAAAGTCGGCTCTTTTAACAAGTGGCCTAATCGCGGCGATGAATATGTATTTTTGATTAAACGATATACTTTATATGTATTTTCATTGTACGAAATGAAATTGTACTCGGGATTTTATATCAGTTTTATTGAGATTTTTCTAAGGGCGATAACGAGTTCGCAAGATTCCAAAAATACGTATTAAAATTAAATACACCCGGCCGTTTATCTCATACTTTTATGTCCACAGATCGCCGTGGCATTTCAGAGAAGTAATGTTTTAATTTTACCTTAAGAAGAAGCAACCGCGAGTTACGTTTGACATAATTAAATTAATATATAAAGACATTTTGGAATCCCATAGTTGTCATGGATTGATCATTTTAAGCAACAGAAAAATCATTATACGCTGAAAAATCGTCTCTTCAACGAGCGCGTAATCGCGATGACTGTTACAGACGGCAATGAGAATTTCCGATTTTTTAAATACATCGTCATACTTTTATAATTTACAGAACGTTCATAAATTTACGCAACGGTGGGGACCTATTTTACAAAATAGGGAAATGAAACGATACGTTAGGCGTGAAAAGAAAACAAATAACATCCTAACGCAAAGAAAATTTGTCGCTCTTGTATGTTAGCGAGCGCCGTTTGTGAATTCTCGTGCAATTCACGATTGATTTGGCGACGCGCGAATTCCGTGTTAAAGCAAAGCGGCGCAGGTCACGTGGTACCGGGTATTCGAATAGTAAAATGCCATTCGAATATTTTGATATTCGATTCGATATTCGTTATTCGAATATTTTGCCCAGCCCTAATTGTGATAAAAAAAATCAGTGCTCTGGGCTCATCTTGGTTTTCGTTATTTACATCGTAAATGACGTGACCGATTGCGAACTATTACGAATATGAACGAATAATCACTAAGCTTCAGTCACATGGTACAGTACAGTACAGTACTGTACACAGTTCCAGTGATTCAGTAGCCTACTGTACACAGTTTCAGTGATACTGTACGTCATTTTGGTTGTTTAAGCCGTTTTTTTCGTAACTTGTTTGATCGTTTTTTTTTTACTTTTGCCCTTTGTTATGGACTCAAAGCAGAAAAAAGATGTTAAGATACTGTACAGTGTTTGCTTTTATTCACGTGATGTGGAATTGTTTTCTGTCTTTCTAATAAAGTTCTTATTTGCATTATTTGTACATTTTATTAGTGTACAGTACCATACTTTACAATATAGTACGATGTGTATAGGGTAATTCATGTACTGTACCACTGTACAGTATAATGTTCCGACTTACACTGAAATTCGGGTTACACCGAGTCTCAGGAACGGAACTGCGTCGTATGTCGAAGACTCCCTGTATATTCAGTAACAAAAATATAATATAAAACTGATAAATGAAATCAAGTTAAATTTGACCTGATCATTCGTACAAAATGTAGATCAAAAATGAAAATGTAAAAAAATTTCATTCATTCGAATTCATTGATATTTTTATTAACTAACTTGAATCTAAAGTTTTGTTTCTATTTGGTTTTTATGTTATCAAATTCACCACTTCTATGAAAAAATTTGTTTATAGGTTATGAAGTCAGTGTGATTCTGGTTAAATTTAGTATATTAGCATCCCTTGTATACCAGTATTAAAATATGATGGCTTGTGAGATGTGAGTTTGAATTGTGAAGTTCAAATCCATGGAATGACTCCTTCAAACAAACTTCAAACATAAAGACATTTACACACAATCCTCAAATTCCATAATCCAAACCAAAAACAAACCAGTATTTCTATTATTTTCCTAATAAAATTTTTCTAATAGACTATTTATCCTACCTAATCTGAATTAAAAAATACTATTCATTTTGACTTTCTACAACAAATATATCTCACCTCGTTCAGCTGCTGCAGCACTTGAGATTCTCACAGACTGGGGAGAGTTAGGATTGAATGGCACTGGGGATGGAAGTGGAAGAGTTGCATTTGATTCAATAGCATATATAAATTCTCCAACAGTGTCACTACTGAATAATATCGAACAATATTTTTTGCCAGTTCTAAATGGCAGATATTCAAGCTGAAATAAAAAAATTATTGCTTAATCTATGTTGGTATTGGTAGGGAAAGTTCATAATTTTGAATTTTATCATTCTAGATCTATAAAGTAGTAAAATCATGATATATTCAATGGGTTTTATAAAAAACAATGAATTTTATTAAAAGAAAAAAATATCAATTGTCAAAAAATGCAAAGATAGGTGCTAACATTAAGCTTCATTGTGTTAGAAAAACTCCTTTCTGGAATAAATTCAAAAACATGTAATATAGTAATAATTCCAACAAGGAAATAAGCTGAATTAGTAGTGCCAATGCAAATTATTTCAACATAATATATAGATGAACATCAGCTGGGTAACTGGGTACTTTCAGCTGGGTAACCATTCAGATTTAAAAAAATGTCACCTTCAATACTGTCGGTCTCTCTGTTTCAAGATAAATGTGAGATTCCTTGCAGAAAAAAGCTGTCAATTGTGGGGCCATTCGTCCATGATACAGACCCCTGGGACCCTGCCCTGCTCTCACTCCCGGTACATGGATGTCACCACCTAAGGTAGTCAAATCATCATCTGGAGAACTATTTCCTTGTGACACAGGTCCTAGCTCTCTTCTATCTCCACCGGATTTTTGTTGTCCATGATCTGTCCTGGATCTCACCTATGGATATTTATTAATAGCAACATGAACAATTAAAAACAATAATTGGGGATCCAATGTCAAAAATATTCGCAAAGGGAACATTGAAATTGAATTGAGAACAATGCAATATATATATCAAACATTTTTTTAGATGAAATAAAAATTGACAATATATTGTGCCAAAAGTCATGAAAACAACCATTATAATATTGTATAAAAACTTACAGACTTGATTCTTGATGACAAAGTACTCTTTTTACTTTTAACACTGTGAGTTCTTCCAACATCGATGGGAGTAGGAAGAGAATCACTCGATTCAATCAAAATAATTTTGAAATTTCCTCCTTCTGGGAAAGGATTCATCACCTTCAGAAAAAAGCATGCTGTCTATTTAGGAAGTTATTTGTTATTTCAAAGTAATAATCCCTTCAACTGTTTTCAACAAAATGTAATGACACATGTATATCCGAGGTCAAATAACCAATGCGTTGTTGGCGCAAGGATAATATTTTGGTTTATATCAAGATTTAATTTAGGTTTCCATTTCCAGTAAACCATATGGAACATAAGTTTTCTTCAAAGTGTTATAAAACAGTTGCTCATTTGGTTTTCTAATCCTAGATATTATTAGATTAAACCATGTAAAGTGAGTGGGAGTGAGCTGAAATAGAAGAATTTAATTCCTTCATATGAACTAGGGCAGGCCTGGGCAAGTTGCGGCCCGCGGGCCACATCCGGCCCGCGACAACGTTTCATCCGGCCCGCGAGCAGGTTTCTAGATGTGGACACTTTCTTTTTTATTTACATATAAAATATACTTTAACTGTAAACAAAAATTTTTTTTAGGAAAATGAAAAAGTCGGCAATACCATTCGACTAATTTTTTTTTAAATGACCGATTGTTTTCGTCAGCTCGAGATGTTATTTAGACCGTAAACACCTTTACATTGGTGATTATTCTACTCAAATCTTCTACTTCTACACAAATTTCCTTCAACATATATATTTCTATATATATATATGTCTTGCATACCGAACTGTGAAACCATTGAGAAAAACGAGTCATTATATAATAATGCTATATAGATAAAAGAGTGCATCTGCAAGCAACCTAAATCGACAATTCAGAGCGGCAATATAAAATACTAAAAACTGGACAGAAACAAGATTGATTGAGAAGGCTTGCGGCAGATTAAAAACGCTGTTGTAGAAATTGGAAACTGAAAAATTTCTGGTGCCCATGGCAGTAAAGTAAATTCAACCGATTTTCATGGTACTGAATTGAATTTTACTCGGTGTGGTTTTATCGCAGACGTAGGGATTTTTCTATCGGTAAAATCTGATTGTTGCAAGAACAAATCACATTTGTTGATTTCACGAAATCGCAAAACACGAATAAAAGTAATCTAGCACTTTATGTCACATTTTTATATCCGCGACATGCGGTGGTATTTAAAAGTAGTAATGATTATATTTTGTCAAAGTAATCGCGGGCTAATTTTAAAACTAAGCAAGACATTTTAATGTGCCCATATCTATGCATTTTAAATATACCCGTATCGCAAAAATAGGTATCAAAATTAAGTATATTCCGGCAGTTTATCTCGCATTTTTATATACGCAGATAGACGTTGTATTTTAGAGCAGTGCATTCCAAACTTTTAAACTCGCAACGCCTTCCAATGCATTAAAATTTTCCGCGACCCCTGTTTACGTTAAAAATGCGATGGTGACAACAAAGTTATATGAATCACGAATGTTTGGCCATTGAAGGCATGGTCTTTATTCCGCATAGTTACTCACTCTTTAGCATTAATGATAAAATTCAGCATTGTTTTGCAAGCGTGACGTTTCTCTGATCCTATGTATTGTCTCGAAATAGCGATATTTATGTTTTAAACTAATTTTAATACCTGCGCTTTAAATAAAAATAACGAAGTACAATAGTACTTTGTTTTATTCAAATGTGTAATGAAATGCATTAAAAACGCAAAATTGGCTTTACTTAGTCCGGCCCGCCACTGCATTTTGAATATTCAATGTGGCCCGATAGCAAAAATAATTGCCCAGCCCTGAACTAGGGGTTTATCTCTCAGTGAATGTATGTCGGGAGTTACAGTTTTAGTAATAATTGAAAGATTTGCGCTAGACCTAACCTGTTGAAATTGCAGGGATAAATCATTTATTGAGTGTCACCTATGAGGGAGTCTAACATTGATCATACTAAGATAAAGAATAAGAATACTCAACAATAAGGATTCCAGTCTTTCTAAAATATGGCAAGTTCATATAGATCAATGGCTTGTGTAGAGCCTTGTTATTAGTGTAGATGTGCAAATCATCAGAATAAGATCATTTTATTCAAATATGACTTAAATCGCAACTAATTCATTTAAAGTTTCCTACTCACTTTCAAATCCAATTTCTTCGGTTCATAACAAGCAGTTTGGCATTTAATTGTATCAAGAGGAGTAATGTCATCAATTGATGTTTCCATATCGAACACCAATGTAGATCCAACACCAATTCCCCTAGTTTCCGATCCGCTAAAAGCAGCTTCCCTTCTACCTACAAGGACCAATATAGCTTCTGCCGGTCGCAAAAACCTACTTGCAAACTCAATGTCCAGATTCTTCTCATTTCTGTATATTTAAAAATTTAACATTTTGTGATTACGAATGCTTGACAGTTAGCTCATCATGCTAAGCATCGGGAAGACTATTGCAGTGTCACATGAATGATTATATGCAAGAAGGTATCTGGAAACTGAAGCATCCCCAGTATAAATATAATGGATAACAGAAAAGGAGCTTTATCATATGATTGATAAACCCAGACAAGGTATTTGAATGGCTAACACGTTGAATATTTCAAATGCATGGGATAGTTGATTGACTATGTCTGGGAGAATGAAATGTTTTCTTAAAAAATTTCTAATTAAAGATAATAGAACAAACCTCGGTGGTATAGTGATCTCATCCCCAATTGGCAAATAAAAATCTTTGGCATCTCTTCCCCACACACTGACCATGTATACAAGAGGTTTTGTGCTTGGATTGTTAATTCGAACCTAAGAAAGATTAGATTCACATAAGAAACAGAATCCCAATTTCTCTACCTAAACACATTTTATATTTACAAATCGACAATGCAATTTATCTAAAGAACATGCTATAAGAGAAAGTTTAGATATGTTCATTGCTTTGGAACAAGGCTACGAAAAGTCAAATAAATACCAGAAAATAATTTGTAGAATAATTTGCATAATTTAGGCTTAGAAGTATTTCAATAAAAAGTGCACACACAAAACTTATTGTCAATTGCCAACTTTGAATATTTCACGATTTATCATGAAGAATAAAATGATTAGCATTGGATTAAAAACTCTTTCATTGCTCTAACACAGGGGTCGGCAACCTTTTGAACTCAGCGTGCCATTTTATGAATAATGAGCACCTTCGCATGCCAAACATTTTTATGTGTTTGGTTTGCATACTCAACTACCTGATTTGAATAGTAAGAGGATGTAAAACAGATTTATTTTATAGGATAACGTGCATGGAAATTAGCTAACGCGAGATTTCGGCATACGGCATCTCTACCTTTGACCTGTCTTTGCACGACTTAATTAATAGGTTTGAAGGCCACTCACGATTAGTTTTGTAGCCAGAAAAGATGTGAACGCGTCAGTACTAAAGAAAAGAAAATTTATTCCATCATTTCTGTTAGGGATACATGTAGCGAACGCTGAAATTATCAAAATTTTGGCTTCAGTGAAGTACCCAGTCAGCCAGGTGCGCGACCAGGATTTTCAAAAAGCAGGGTGGTCAAAATGGGAAATTTCCACTCCCTCCTGAAACAGTACTGCGATTAATTAAGAGCTCGTAAGAAAACTTTTTCAGTGTATACCGACTTTTCTGTCGCATAAAATATTCAGTTCACGACAGCTACGAGAAGCTATAAAACTTTCTTTTATATTGATATAATTTTGTCCAACGTAACTCGCGGTTGCGTCTTCTTTCGTCAAAATATAAACATTACTAGTCTAGAATACCGCTCAATCTGTTGACGTAAAAATATGAGATAAACATGCCTAATTGTATTTAGTTTCAAAACTGTTTTTGTGATCTCACGAATTCGTTGTCGCCGTTAGAAAAATCTCAAGATCTATAATAAAAATCCCACATAGTACAATTAAACACATATAAAGTATATATCAGTAAATCAAAAATACATATTTATCGCCTCGAAATTCCGCGGAATGATTTTTCCGTTGTGCAAAGTTATCAATCCATGACCGATACGATCATATTTAAATTGTCTTGCTTTTTTCTAATTTACTTGTCTTAAATTTAACCTGCGGTTGCGTCGACAAAATAAATGCTTCACCACCCTAAAATACCACGGCAATCCGCGGACATAAAAATGTGTGGTAAACTTCCAGGTTATATCTAGTTTTAATCCGTATTTTTGCCATTTTGCAAATTCGACAAATCTGAGCTGTACTTGCAACACGAAGTAAAATTTATTATTGGTTGAATATACTTTAATTATTTATCTTATATATCACCGCGACCAGTGTTCCCTCTAAGGTGTGCGCGTGCACACAGCTTTCAGAGGCTGCGCACACGCCTAGATTTACTGCGCACAGACCTATTTCGATGTAATGTAACAATGTTTTCGTTTGGCAGGTTGAGAAAGTTTGTTGTTGGCCCACTCATTACCCGGTTAGAACGCCAAAATTTCTTCATTGATTTTTGCACCAATATTGGTCGTTTCCAAAAATGTGCGCACACACCAAAATTTCTGCGCACACATACTACAAAAAATTAGAGGGAACATTGACCACGACTCAGGAAAAAGTCGCGTTTCCAACCTTGTAATATGAATCGTATAATATTAACACGAAAAATTTTGACGGCAATTTAAAGTAATGGATAAAACGGCAAAATCCGCACACAATTAACAGTGCGAATTTGATTGTAGTGACATTATGATTGTCAACGCCGCCCAAACTCATGTGTACCTTAGGCAGACGAAATTTTGCGATTCACAATGTCTAGAGAAGCGTTTTTAATCTGTCGCGGGTCTCCTACAACAAATTGTTTGCGGTTCCATATTTAGTATTTTATATTGCTGCTTTTCAATAGAAAAATTTGCGTCCCCGATTCACTCTTTTATTTGACTTAAGCAACTCGCCTCCGATTATTGTATAATAACTCTCAGCGAATTCACAATTCTGAGCGAGTACAAAAAGAAAGTAATTATTATCGTTATCGTGAAAAAAATTTTGTGATTCGGGGAGAATAAACACCAACTTAAGTGTTTACAGCCTAAATAACACGTCCCGCTGACAAACACAAAGGGCGATTTCAGCGAAAAGCTGTACGAATTGCCCAAGTATGAATTGATAAAATAATATTCAATATATCACGATTTTTAGAGGGCAAAAATTAACCCAACAATAGTATAAAAAGTCGATAGTAGTTGAACGAATAGTTTCAATAGCGAAGCGTTTCCGAAGGTAGCCAAATCTGGCAACCCTGCACCGCACATGCTTATCTAGACTGATTTCGCGTACAGATTTCGGCTTCTCGTCGATTGCAGTTGAATATTGCATGTTTTTTCAATGAATTTGACAAATTGTTATTTATTGTTCAAATGTAGAATGTTTGTCGAACTACTAAAATAAATGTCCGAATCTGCCTCAAATCACTTGGCGTGCCATGAGAAATCCTCCCGCGTGCCAATTGCCATGGGTTGCCGACCCCTGCTCTAACATATATCAGTTTATTGTATATGAATCATAGTATAATTGTATAAATCTAAAACTTGTAACTCAGGTTGGTCATGGTAAATAACGACATAATTTTTGAAGTTAAGATTCTCTACCTGTCTGTGAACGATACTGTGCAATGCTCCTGTGAAATCAACTTTCGACTTTGGAGCATATTGTGGTAAATGTTCATACAGATGAATACAAAGCTGAAAGAATAACACAAATGAAAATATCAAGAGTGGTCGAAAACAAATTCTGAGTTCTGATTATTTAATACCTTTGTTTAAATTCATATTTTACTTTTAAAAGAAAATAATTATGGATTAAGTTTCAGCAATACTTACCAAAAGTAAAGGAATAGGATTTGGATCAGTGATATCTGTAGCTTGAATGTCATAATCAATTCCAACTTGTGCAAGAGCATTGACAAGAATTAATGTATTGTGAAGACATTGTTCTGGACTTGCTGGAGCGGTGTACATTTCTCGAAAGTATCTATCAATCTGAAAATAATAAAATGGGACAAAAATGAAAATCTTTCATAAAACTGAAAGGTATTTGAGTGGAATTAGCCACTCAAATAGAATTGCAATCACATAATACATTCCACAACATACAAATTAAAGTTTGTATTCTATTGTATTCTTTATTGGCCATACAGTATATTTTGAAAAGTTTGTGAAAAGTATGGTTCATAAAGTTGAAATAAAAACAATTTGCTATATATTTAATATACCACATTTATTACAAAAGATTAATTAATCAAAGAGAACTTACGGTAATTGTATAATCCATGTTATAAATTCTGCTCAGTTTTTATAAAGATCGGTAATAAATATCCGCATGATAATTCGAAGTCAAATAACAGCATACTGCGATTGGCATACTATTCACGTTAGGTGTCCAATATATTAAGAATTATACAATATAAAGCAATCAAAAAAATTGTGCAGCACTCACCAGCCATGGACAATGTGCTGCAACAACAGCAGCAATCACAAGACCATCAAGTAAGTCAAAATCAAAATTAACAACCCAACGAGAAGGTGGAACTCCTCCTTTCTCACTTTCATTAGATGATTCAAAACATCCCCAGACCCTGTGTCTCTGTCTTTCATAGTGATGATTCATCCATGCCAGGATTATTCTCTCTCCCACACTGAAAAAATTTTCATTAACATGATTTAAAACTGAGCCTGAATATTTGTGCAAATTAGTCAAGTGTATTTACCTGTAAACATTACTTGCCAGAGGATCTGAACTAACAGTTGGTAATGAAAAACCTTCTTCCATGGATCTGATACTTCGATAATGTTTAGGTGTCACTCGAGATAACACCAAGACCTGGGATAAGAAGAATATGGAGTTTTCATTTGCAACTAGGTTGGAAAAATTAATACAATAGAAATTCTGGGACAAAATATTACATAGGTGCAATTTAAGATGCATCTCACCATACTTTAGTTTAGGTAGAGTGAAAAATGAAATTGCTCATATTGTTTACAAATCAATATACAACCTTAATTAGCTGAAGCAATAAATCGGTCCAAGCTCTCTTTGATACAGATTCGAATAACTCTTCCTCAATATGAAGCATGGAAGGAGTCAATTTTTGTTTTCCTGGTACATGTTCTGGTGCAAGTTTTAATTCCGAATTGAGATCATCATTTTTATTTGACTCTTTCGACTCTTTTTTTGCTTCTTTTTCTCGTATTTTAACCCATCTTCTGTAATCTCGAGGAGTGAATAGGAATTCGGGTCGGATTGCTGCAATAGAAGCACCTTGGCCCCTGAAGAAGCAATAAGCTTGTAATGGAGATAAAAGAAAGTTCAATATCTTTATTTTCAAGCCATTGATGAAATATAAGTCAGCATAAAAGAAACTACCCCTTCATCACAATTGTATTATAACTACTTGTGTAAACATTCCTGCTTTTGTATAAAATATAAACCCATATGAGAAGATAAGTGACTACAAGTTGTACAGAAATTGATAATATTTGATGCTTGATATAATTAGAGGAGCTTACCTCAAGAAGGTGAGCAATGTTGAATGTTGCCAATGCAATTGAAGAACACGTTCTGCTGGATCCCGAGGCAAAGGTTGGTTGATTGGAATACCTGGTACCATTCTGAATTAAAAATATTCACTCTTGATATTTTTTTTATCTGAAACTATTTATTTAAAGTTGAAAATATATGAGACTAAAATCAACACATGAAAGATTGAAATCACATGAAAGTGCAGCAATGTAAATTACAAATTTCAAAGTTTTTTGGGTTTCATAGTTCATTATGATACAAACCTCCCACACATATGCTGCAGCATATCATAAATCGTTTTGACATCTTTCCTCAAACTACTGACATCGCATCCGGTATATACAGGTCTGGCCTGTTTATTAGAAGCACCTGGCCGAGGTCTATGTCGAGCTTTATTAGATGGAGGTCCAGTCTCACTATCATCATATGGCATCCTTGTAATTAGACTGAAAACATGGCTTGTATTTAGTACATTCAGCTTCAACTGCAATTTTATGAAATTAAGAATGACAGACATTAATTAACATGAAACAGATGTCACAAAAGTCTTACTCACAAAAAACTTATCATATAAATATCCAACAAGCCTGACATAACAGACCAAATAAAGTACCTACCGGTAAGTCATTATTAATACTATTTTTCCTGAATCTCCAACGGGATTTCCCTAAAATCAGTAAAAATCCTCACCTCCTTAGTGAGTGGGGAACTGTGATAGGAAACGGTCCTCCAGGCCATCCATAGTTTGAAAACCAACGCTGAACAGATTGTAGCACTTCATGGTGAAAATGAGCTTCTAACGAGCTATCAAAAGGAAAAGCAGCAGATCCAAGAGATCTGGACACAAGATCACGACGAGCTGCTGCAAGAGGTTCAGATCGTGCTTGAATAACTTCTGATACCTGCTGTTAGTAAAAAATGGATGAAAAATAAATTTCAGAAACTGACTGAAGGCTAAAGTAATATGATTCAAATAAGCACAAAACTTTTGAACTCAATACAAAATATCCTACTACAGCTCTTTGAGAGTCTTCTCCTGCCCTTGAAGGATCCTGAGAAGAAGGTTGCATTTTGTTTCTTGACAAAGACTCCACATCATTTTCGATGTTATTGTTATTAGATCCGATTGCAACAGGCTGGGCTGCACCTTCTCTTGGTGAATGCACAAAGTCAGACTCTGAGATAATTTGAATAATGAAATAATAAATTAACAGAGAGAGTCTAAACAGTTCCTAAATTTTAAAGAAGACATGTTATAAAGATCATTTCATTCAATTGACTTTAATTGATGTCAAAATCTATAATTCCAAGAAATATAGTGATTTTTAAAATAATGCAGAAAACAAAATATTGCCCATGAATTGTTAAAATCGTGTCTTGGCAATTCCATCTACACCTGGATAGCACATACAGAAAATACACGCAAACTAAAACCCAGCTTTGATCTAGTTGCTACTAGCATATTTAATAAGAGCATAATTATTTAATGTTAAATCAAGCTTTGTCTTCTATTCTAAAACGATAATTTACAAAAGAAAAACAGGTAAATGAAAAACAAAAAAAATATTTCAGGCACAAACAAACCGAATTTAAAAAATTTACTGAAAATGACATAAGCTTAACTTAATGTAATGATTTAATAATAATTACCTGATAAATTGTCCGATAGTATGGAAAGGGAGGCAGGGGTAGAGAAGGAGGGAAAAGTATAACAGGAACAATAGTAGGAAGTTGAAGAAATTGATGAATCTGAACATTCAATCTAACTAATGCTCAACAACATCATGAGGAAGTTAATTAATAACAGGATTACGATTTTAGATCTTTAAATTTGCCTTAGACTGAGGATTGTTGGTTAATAAAATATTTGAAATCAAAAATAATTTCATACATTTCCAATTCTTTAGATAGTTAAAAATTTAAAAGTACTACTGTAGTTTGAGAAAACACAAAATATCATTTAAATATGGACAAACTGTAGGAGGACAACAATCGAATTGAAATAAGTTATATCAAGATCAGTAAGCGATATCTCTCCCAATTTTTAATAAATACAACATTATTTGACAGTAACATTTCTCACTCTTCTGATAGAATAAAACCATGATCAATTTTTAGGTCGAAAACAATGTGACACCATATCGTGGTTATTATATAAGTAATGATTGAGAAAATTATGAGAATTGTCAACACTTACTTTCAAGTCATTCTGAGTCATTACATGATAATTATGATATTCGACCTTCTATCAAATACGACAGGAATATAATTATAAAATATTGTGTTATAAACACAGTAATCGATGAAGCTCACTGAGTGAATGAAAACTAAGGAAATTCATGACAAATTTTCTGAATATGATTTCAAAGCATTCAAAAGTTACGCTAACTTAATCAAATGTAGCAAACAGGGATGACCATAACCAAATATGTCCTTAGCAACACACACAATTTTTCACATGACCAATTTTTATTATAATTCTGACTGTATTACACGGGCATAAGTGTCATTTAGCCCATAAACATTGGTAAGTAACCTAAATTCCGCTACTTTCCCTATCTCACAAGTAGGCTATCCTTGTTTGCGAGTATAAGGTCTTGCGCCACCACAGAAATGTAGATTAATTTTTAGTTCGCTTGCGAAACAGCATATTCATTCAATAAAAATTAAAATGTTAAAATGCGATCATTGTCAACGAGGTCAAATGAGTGAATCCGCTACCTAATTTTTCATTTGCCAATGAAGGAGTACGGTACTGAGACCGAAAACGTATTCAAAGTCCTCCAAATATTTCCTGTCAGCTGTGATGCTTTTATCAACGACACCCGATGAAGCACCCCCCATTTATGCCCGTTATGGGTACTAAAGTGATTTATGAACCTTCCGTTTTCCTGATTCAGAAAAAAACGACACCAGACTATAAAACACAGATGTTAACTAAACCATGGACGTAGGGTGCAGTACTGTACCTATCACACCATATCCACAGGTTATTTCAACGTTACAGTTAATAGGTTGGTCAAAATTATTGCTGCTACCATTTCAATGCTAAAATTACTGCTGTATTTAAGAGTAGGTAATTCTATGAGTGTCGTTCTACCGAAACAAACATTACCTAGTTCTAACGATAAAGAATAATGAGCGCCTATTAGTGCTTACTGGCTAATAGAGAAGACATTTTTTTACCCTGTCGTTATGGAGGGCTACAGGTAAGGAAAAACCCTCTTTTTTAGTGATAACATTAGGCATCTTCTTATTTACAAGGTAGACCTATTAGCCGAAAAATAAGATACGGTAATTACAAAATATCCTTTAAACACTATTTTAAACACTGTAAATCGCAAGAAGTGCGAAAATATTTCCTTATTTGCGGGTTGCGATAAAAAGTGTAGCGCAATTTGTGTCTTATTCTGCTAGGTTTATTGTCGCAAGCGTACAAGTATGTTGAAATATACAATATTAATTGTAAAATATTTTCAATCAAAATGTTCCTGATGGTGGGGTGAGGTAGTGTGTGCAAATACCGCACTTGATTCTGTTTCGAGTTTGGACATCCCTGGTAGCAAAAATGATTATGTAAAATAAAACACATAAAGTACAAAATGACATTTGCCAAAATTTCAAAAAGTTTGTCTGGAACTGATCAAAGAAACTTGAAATTTAAAATTAGATAAAAATATGTTTAATAAATCACAAATCTAATATCACAAAACTCGAGTGAATAGAATAGGCACACATCACGTATGTGGATAAATTATTTGTTTGTTCATTTAATGAAAACTAGTCTAATTCAAAATTAGGGTAAGCCACACGTTAGATGACAATGCGGCAAATGAAAAACATACCAGACACACTATTGCTGGAATCATCATATGTTGAAGAAGAAGCTCCGAAATGAGAACTTGTTGCACTTGTGCTCCCCCTGGTGGAAGGGCGGTGAGGAGAAGTACATGGTAATATTACTGCTTCACCAAGACCTACTAAGAATATATTGCAAAACTGATGAATTTACAAAAAATATACTTTACCAAATATTGTAATTGTGTATTGATTACCTTAAGCAAAAAGTACCAGTAATTAAAAAAAAAATCCTAAAAATATTTTGTTCAGCAAGATTTGAAAATTTGGAAAAACTAGGATAAATATGCTGCCTCTGAATTCATAAAACAGGCTTTTGGTAAAACGATAATGTCGATTTCATTTTCATCTATGTTTTTGCTTGTATTCATTTATCAATAGACATAACATGACAAAAAATCCAACCTGAATTTCCATCATGAGCATGGCCTCGAATTGCTTTGTCCTGTTCACAAACTATTTGATGATCATTACGATGAGCCGCAAGAAAGGGATAAACAGTCAACAGACAATTGTCGGCTGTTGCAGTGACCGTGATCACGAACCTTTGAAATAAAAAAAATGTTATTGTGCATCGTGGAATTGAAGTTTACAATTATGCTACATTTTTCTGTATTATTGATGACAATTTTTAAATATGGTGCATTTCAAAAAAGAAAAAAATAGGACAGGAGTTAATAATATGATCCAGAAAAAAAGAAATGACAGTCATATTGTAAACCATGGCCTGTGACCTACTATTTCTAGTAGAGCATGACTTATGCAAAACTGCAACAACTACACAAAGTAAACAATGACGCATGATCACTTTTTAGTAATTCTACAAATGTGTCAGCCAACAAAATAAATGAGTCAGTTTTCTGTTAATTGTTTCATTTGAGAAATAATTTATAAAAAAAATTGTTTATTTATTCAAAGAGGAAATGCAAGAAGAATAAAATTTGGTTGGTAAGAATAAAACAATTTCAGATGTCACAGAAATTTGAATGAAATAATGCACACAGAAATCCTCACTCTGCTCTTACTTACAATAACCAATTTTGTTCTATCTTATTCAATCAGAGATTTATTCTATAGGTTGAACATGTTTTAACCAAAAGTTTCATCAATTACTACAACAACTCTATTTGTTTATTTATTGTTTCCTAATATTGACATACTTTCTGTTGTTGCTATCTGTGAATTGTATATCAATACAAGCAGAAACTGGTTTTGGAGAGGAAAAGCACAAAACGCAAGGTAAAATAGCAAGAGTGTTTTCATCCATGTTTGTTCCAGATTGATTTTGTTCAGATATTGTCATTCCTTCTGGAAATTCAATTGAAAAGCATTGTATGTTTGAACCATCTTCAGCTTCCACTTCAGGAATCGAGTAGTTCAGTTTTGTTTCTCTGAACAATATATCAAGTAATAGTTACCGGTAGATAAAATGTTACGCTGAATTTGATTGAAATTCTTTGAGCATGTGTGAAAACAAAGAGTATTAAATATTATTACAATTTACAACAGGAGTCATTTTATGAAAAAGGTTCCAGACAGAAAGAATATGAAATGGATAATAAGATGAGCTATCATTTTTATCCAGGGGGAGAGGAAATTCGGCCACCAACCGTGCCAACAGTGTTACACAATACCAGGTTGTAAACAAAAAAAATAAATTTGTCAAAAAGTGCCATTAAATTTGCCAATAAAATTCGTATTTGAGTACACAAATTTAAAACTTGTCGTTTTATGAAGCGTTGCGGTAGCGGCCTATTGTCAAATCTGCTATTGATTCCAGTTCTTCTACATTGCTCGAACATTGACTACAAACTTGAATGTAGAATATTCTAAATTCTTAACACAAAATGAAAGTAAGGCAGAAAACAATTTTTGCCTCATTAACTCAAATCTATATGTTTGTTTCAAGTTTCAAGAAATGTTACAAAATTACCTGTGATATCCAGTAGCGATAATGTTAAACTCGGCATAAACAGCAGTAGCCAGAGGAACAGGAGTTAGAACTAATGCTAGTGGATCGAATGTAATCATAGGAGTTTGAATGCGTGCATTCAGTTCCAAATATCTGAAAGCAAGTATAATATACAAATGTAAAGATCAAGTAATGTTTTTTTATAAACATTATTATGCAATTTTACATTTAGCCTAATCATGCTTGTCATAACAAACTCTCGATTTAAGAATATCTATGGCTAAAAATATGTTCTAATATATGGATGACGTTTGACTCAACTGTGCTGGCATGGCAGATTACACATCTCAAGTTCAAATAAATTTCAGACCTTCCATATATAAGTAACTCCTTACATATTGTGAAATACCAGTTTCTGCTTTTATGGGACCTTGTTTAGAGTGATGGGTGTGAATAAGCATATGAAAAATGAAATCTGTATCAGTAAAAATGACGTTTACATAAATTTTACACACCATAAATTTCATGCAAATGAGTAAGATTGTAAGCCTTCAAGTTTTTAGTTGACATAGCATGATGAAATCTAACGATTATTAACGGAAAATCATTTCCTGATAACACTGGGTAAAAATTTTATATCAATGGCTCCTCGATAAGCTAATGTTATGTTTATTGATTACATTGTCTCAATCATCCCTAATATCAATATACCTGTAAGGGTTTCTTTCGTCACCATTCAATATAACAGGAATTTTGTAAGAATAACTTCCAGCTTTTCTTGGACAAAATAGAATAGTCAGTGTATAGGATTCCTCAGAGTCTAATGTTCCTTCTACTTCACCGGCTTTATATGCCGCACCACCAGGTTTTAGGAAGCTGAAAAATTAATTTTCCTTATTTCAATATGCTTACTATGAATATAAGGACATCCCGTTTCTCCAAAACTGACATTATTTACAAAACAAGGTAGGACCTATGTAAGATACAGAGTTATGTTTTAGTAAACAGAACCATGATCTAGTTACATAAATAAGAAGAGGTGAATGATTAGATAGTCATCATTGGAAAAACACTCAACACATTCTAGGGGATATTGCACTAACAGTCATTTTCATAAAACATTACATCAACCCCAAAGTAATGAAAATCCCATTCTTTTAAATATTCAGAATTGAATATGAATAAATTTTCATAACTCCAGACATCACTGTACATTATTTTAAATAACAAAAAAGTATTTTATGGCTATCAAGTCGCTTTTCTGGTCCCAATTTTCTGGCCTGATCTTGGGAGGCCATCTTATTGGCTATGCTCATTTTGTTTTCACTGGAGTCGACTTATTTTTTCACATACAGTAAGTCTTCTCAAGCTTTGTTATCTGGATTGAAAAAGTTTATAATGTATTCCATACCAAAGGGTCTGCCAATCATGGCTACTTTTATTTATAAATTAACTTTATACTGCTAGCTGTTATTTGTCTTTTTGAAACTAAAACTTTAATGGCAATCATGACTTGGCTTGTGCGATGGAGCAACCCCTATCCATGCACCAAATCGTTATCAGTACTTCAAAAGGAAAAAGTCAACCATGAGAAATAAAATTTATGACCCTATGGTTTTGCTGATTGTGATTCATGAAAAAGGTCACCAGTAGCATGTAGATAAGACTCGAAAGCAGAGAAGTTATAAACTAACCCATGGAGTACAGTGCACTATTTATCACACCATATTCACAGGCTATTGTAGTGTTCCAGTTAATGGTTTGTTCAAAATGATTGCTTCTACCTTTTCAACGCTAAATAACTACTTTATTGTTAAGACCGAGTTAATTCTGGGAGTTTGATTCTACCGAAACAAACATGACTTGGTCTAACCATATGAAAATTATGAGCGCATATTGGTCCTTAACTGACGAACAGAGAAACAGTTTTTCTGCCCGTGTTATCGGAAGGCAATATGGAAGAAAAAAACTTTTTATTGCTAAAAATAGGCATCGCCTTATTTGACGAACAGACTTATTAGCCGGATAATATAGTAACCGAGTGACTGATACTACTTGAATTACTGAGTGTATTTTTAACCAATATATTCACCAAAAAACGGCCGTATATAAAACAATCACATATTTGGTGCAGAAGTCATACAAATGTTTTTTAGTGCTTCTAAATTTATGATTTTATTTGATGATGCATAGTAGACTAAACTAAATTGGTCTTTGTCGTTGTTTAAATTAATCAAACTTTCTCATTTTTGTTCAATATTGAGCATCAATCGCAATTTAATATTTCTATTGTTATAAATAAATTTGGTTCAAAAATGTATTAGTAGAATAATTCTTTAGTGATAGGAATAGCATCTATTTTTATGATCTACATGCACAAAATAGGGAGAAGACTAATTTTATTTAATAGACCTCATCATCATCTAGACATCAGTTGCAAAAATTTTTTTCAAACAGATTATTTGGAATTATGGTGATACAATTGACTCACATGAATGATGAATCTTCCAGCAAACCTTTTGTCCTTTGTATGTCAAGTTTCCAATGTAATTTACTATTGGTATTATTAGCAAATAATATTTGCTTTTTATCTCCAACAGCATGATCTGGCATTGGCATATCCATGAATGATACAGGGAGAGAGAAATCCAATCTGCATAAAATTAAAACTATATAACACAAGAACAGAAATAAAAATAAGGATATCTATGTATTCATTTCTATTATGCAAGAATCAAAAAACATCATAAAACAGAAACTGATTAAAAAAACTAAGTATGAAACATAATAACGACGACATACATAATATGCATCATATCATCCATAGCAAGGGAGGGGTAGCGAAACCCTCACAGAAACGCGGGTCAAGGGCACATACTGAAATTTAAGACGAATAGCAGAAAAGCAAGACAAGTTGTCAGTCATAAAATAGAATACTGAAGAAACGTTACAGAAATACAGAATCCTCAAATTCACCGCTAAATCCTGTGTCACTCTGTTGAAATACTTGACAAAATGGCAAAACTTAATTAAATAAGGAATTCTCCAAACAAGTGACAAGACAAGCTTTTAAGGAATGTTGTTCTAGTTTAATTAAAAGAGGCAACTAGCAAACAGAAAAAACCTACAAACAAAAATGAAAACAGATATCCGGAATGCCATTATGATAAATATTTCTAGAATAAATTTAACTGTGAAACTGTGAACTTAACAACACTAGAATGAGAAAATCAACCACAACTAAAATCAAGACCAACAAATCAGCCCAACTCAACGTGACTAAAACTAAACCAAAACAATAAGACGATTCAACGGAAAGCAGAGACGACGCTACAAAGAAGAAATAGCGACAGAGATGTCCACTTCATACAATCTGTCTATCCCCTTACCGAGACACAAATGAAAGTATTAGCAAAATGCCTACGCTCTAGCCCTGTGGTTCTCAAACTAAGGTTTAAGAGTCGCATGCGGCTCTCAACAACCTCTCTGCTTTAAAAGTTAATTACTTTCAAAGAAAATTTTTCATTGAAAACAAATCATTGGAATTAAAATGTGGAAGTCTATTAGTTAGTCAAATGGATTCCCCCGTGTTTATTTGCGTAGCGTTGACTAATCTACAAGATGCAATAGTGGCGCAACAGTAAGCGTTTTCGTGGCCACTCGGACACTTTTCACTTGGAAAGATTTTAGACATGGCTGTAATCATTGGCTTGTTTTCGTGGATTTTCAGTTTTTGTCGCATTTCCGAATATTATGTATAAATCAAATAACTCAATGATTATTTTAATTTCTAGAGCTTTTTAATTTTGTTTCAGTAATCGAAAATAGGCCCGAAATATCTGGCGATCATCTCAAGCAGCTACAGCACCTTGCATCTTCAACGATTACGACACGCTTTGACAAACTTATTAGAAATCAAAGCCAAATTAAATGGCTGTTAGTCTAGGGTGGGCGACTTCGAACCTTTTTTTAAATTGAATGATTTGAATATTTTTAACGAATACCGAATAGGAGAATAATGAATATTTTTTTTATACATAACAGGGATCCTGAACGTCGGAGGTCGATATCCCATTTGGAAATTAATACAAACATTGAAAAGTCGGCAATAAAGCGGCAGCTGTTGAATACATTAAGCGCTGATTTCAGAACCAAATTAATTTTATTCTGAGTTCTATCATCTGCCTTGGATTTGATCTTCCTCATCACCACTTATAAATTAACCGTGCCTGTTTAAAGTGAACGGTAATCGAGATGCATGATTAAAATGATAATTGAGTTTCTCATGCTTTTTCTATGGTGTTCTGTTATTTTAGTATTAGATAGATAAACCTAGCAAATTTACGATTGCGTGAATCCTGAATGTTGATTTAAAATAGCGATTAAATAAATTGGCAATATAGGCATTTCTGCACCTTTGTGCCTAATAGAGGGTCAGACGCTAATTATAACTAATTCCTTCAATTTTTTTTTTCAACAAAACAACACCCCGATGGTTATTATAGCTAAATTACTTACTGAGTAATGCTCAATTTTCCTTATGGAATTTGCAAATTCAGCACTTCACCTAATGATTTTGATTATGTCATGCCTCAAGGCTTAATTATTAATGCCAAAATGCTTCAAAATTTAACAATTGTTATCATTTTCGATGATAATAGGCGCAGCAATTCATGAACGAGTCAGTGTGCATTGTTACAATGAAAATCACAATTGATTTTACGTTCTACTCCTGGCTCAACGGCCATGCATGGTCGAGTAAAATGTTTACACATTTGAAACATTACTTGGCCAAGGATGGAAGGGATCACTAAAGAGCTAATACAAAGTGCTTTAAAGGTAGAAGAAAAGGTTTTGGAAAAACTTTGGTTATTTTCAAATCCACGCTATTTATATAACTAGAGTTTTCTAACGACCTAAAATCGCCGTTTTCACAATGAAACGCCGAAAAGTCATTTTAACATTTAATTTTTATCAACTTTATGTTTGGTAATGCAAGAAATGGCTAATGACATGTCACCAAGCATGCGGAGTTCAAAATTTGGAGACGGGCGAGTTCGGTGTCCAAGCAGAGCGGTGCAGGTCACGTGGTACCGGATATTCGAATAGTAAAATGATATTCGAATATTATATTATTCGAATATTTTGCCCAGACCTGGTTGTTACGTGTGTTGTTGTTACGATGACTTGGTATTTTAAATACGCCATTCGAATTATTTATTATTAGATTCGTTATTCGAATATTTTGCCCAGCCCTAGTTGTTACGTGTGTTGTTGTTACGTTGCTATTCTACCTTGCGTTGTTTGTGTCCGGCTCTTCATAACATTGAGGTTTGAAATGCGCCTCTGGGACTAAAAAAGTTTGAGAACCACTGCTCTAGCCCTACTGCTGAAAAATTCATAAAACTCCCAATTTCAAGCTGATATTGATAGAACGTTTCGGAATTACCGCCTAGGAGAATATTTTTTCTATTCATTGTCTTCAGAAAGCACAAGCGAATTAACTCGCACATACCCAAAGTCGTTACAGATCCCAAGCAAATGGAAACCATCCTCTGGGTGAAATTTATAACTAGACCACTTTGTTAACACACTAAAGCGAGAAATTAGCAAAGAAGCATCAAAAAGATGCACTTTTTCCAATCTCTGAAAATACGATTCCAGGTTTTAAATTAGCTAAAAGAAAAAGTAGCAATAAAGTAGAAATATTGTCATTGTACCTGATGATAGAGGTGGGGGGCCCCTGTATTCTTACTCAATCTGATTACATCACTAAAGGCATGAGGCATCTTGCAGACAGTTTGGTTTACAAATACATTCCTAAAGACATCTTTACAAAAATTGGCAATGAAGGTACCACACTGTGTTATAATATGGGGGAAGCCGGCGTAATCGATGACAAACTATTCAAAGCCTAAACCAGGCCATCTACGTATACATCCAAAGTCAGAGTCCATTAGAAAAATCACCCGGGTTGGCCAATCATATCAGCAAAACCTTTCGCATCAATTAGGTGCATAAAGACCTCGTAGTTGGCAAACATTTCAGTCAAAATGACCATTCTATAAACGATTTTTCTGTAATCGGAATAGAAAAACTGATCAAGATCAAGCATACCGGCAAACCAAACATTATATATGGTTATACACTTAAACTTGATTTCTATTTCATCTCAAATTATTCAAAATTGTAGCCTTGACCTCTAGATGAACCCTGCTGTCGGAGTTATTACAGGATAACCGCATGAAATTGTTTGATTTGCTTTTTAATTTTCACTTGTGAATGGATTTCAAATTTGGCATTGGGTAAAAATCAATGAACAATATTCCATAAAATTTCTTGGACACATTGCTAGGTCCCACATCTTATGACTGTAAGAACTTTTTAGTAATTCAAGAAAAACACTTAAATAAATCAATGAACAATATTCCATAAAATTTCTTGGACACATTGCTAGGTCCCACATCTTATGACTGTAAGAACTTTTTAGTAATTCAAGAAAAACACTCAAATAAAGTAATAAGAAATGAGAGAGCAATTTAAGTTCATTGATAGCTTGCACTGCAAATCGTCTATGCGATGCAGAATGTGCGAAACTGCTCATTGAAGTTTCAAAAAGTATCACAAACGATACTGTACTTTGAATAGAATTATAGTGTGTTTAAAATGTTTTATTTTAAGTTTAATGGTGATAGAAAATATTATGGACATATTGAACCAATTTTCAAAATGTCATCGAAAAAATTTCCCGACCAATTGTTAATCCATTTTTCGGACCTCCTGAAGTATGCGCACCAAGATGGCACACAACCTGAGCAGGTTAGGGTTCAGGTTGTGTGACATCTTGGTGTGCAACTTCAGGAGGACCCATTTTTCTTTGTCAAGCAGAGAAGTGTTTTAGTTGTAAAAGTGAGACAATATGTAAATTATATAAAACTATTTGCAAAAAGGTTTATTCAATTCATATATCAAGTGAAAAAAAATGAAATCAAGTGCAAAACGACTTTGTAAAATGATGAATGACAAAAATTAAATTTTGTGCATTCAAAAAGAGGCAGAAAGCAGCCCAACAAAAAGCAGAGAAATACAATTCTGCTTTCAGCTACAAAGAAAATGTAATCGTGTCATACACAATTATTGTGTTATATAAAACCCTGTTTATAAACAATGTCTCAATGTGGGAAGATTGTAAATGTATCAGTGGAAAATTTATAACTGCTAACAAGCAGAATGCATAATTACGTTTTGAAGTATTTGACCATACATCAAATTTGGGTCAAACAGAGAAGGCATTGTCAAGAAGCAGAAAATATACCCAAAATGTAATAACTCTTTGCAATTTCATTTATTCAAAGTTTGAGAAGTTGTTCTTATTTTAAAATACGTACCTGTGAATGATGAATATGATAGATACAAATTTGGGCTAGCATTTAGTTTTTAAAGCAGTCATTTTTATTACCCAACAAAATGCTTTACTTTATTCATAATCTAATTAAAAATCTCTTTAGACAAGTAAATTCGAGAATGATACTTACACAATGTTGAACGTCTTCATTAGAAATACATACCTGCAAGAAGACAAATGTAACAATGGCCTTAAGGCAGTAGCCGTGATTCTTCGTCTTGGTGTTGCAATTGTTACAATAATCGGTCTTGGTGTTACAATATGCTTCTCAGATGGAGCAGGAGTAGGTGGGAAAGTACTTGGAGAAGGACTGGGAGCACCCGTTTTGTTCACAGTTACTGGAAGATTGAAATCATAAGATGCAACCTGGTGTAGTAAAATCAAAATGAAAAATGAAGTTATTAAAAATTCATCAAATGTGGAATAGTTTTCCTGATGAAATTCATTTATCTGTATCACACATTTATCAATGTCAACTTAATCCGAATGAATTATATTTGATATATCAATGACTGAATATTACTTACTGAAGTAGGGTGAAAGGTCAGAGTACAAGGCAGACTTTGTTCACCAGCAAGTTCAACAGAATATGTATTTGGAAGTAAACTTAGTTGATCATTTGGATCATCTGAAATGCAATAAAATTATGGGTTCGAATAATCACTATCCAGTTATATTTACAAAAAAGCCTTCACATTTCAAAATATGGAGAGCCAAGCACATGTGTATTAGACTTGCACATAATTGACAAGAAAAATTCTACAGCCAAATCATTTATGTAATGTAGAACACTGCTCTAAATTTTGTGGTCCTGCCAAAGTTCTATCATATATTAGAAAAATAAGATAAAAACTTTTTATCACATCTAGATACAGGGGTGACCCCAAAAAAATGGAACTCATAACTTTCCCAATTACTTCTACAAAAATTTAATTATTTTGAAAATTCATTTATTTTGTTTGTGCTTGAACTTTCGTTTGTGTTTGATTATACTCAAAACTTCAAGATATCTAGGACGCTTTGTACAAAAAAAGGAAATAGAATATATTCTGGACGACCTCCTTGGCATTAGAGTCATCTGAGTTGCATCCGCAGTGCAAAATTGGTTCCTGTCAGGACATACAAATAGCAACAATAGTGTATACTAGTGCACAGTGCCTCTGAAGGAAGTCTTACAGAGACCGTTACACTCATTAAATGGCATGGGTAATTATTGCCAAACATGGCATAATCGGTTCGTATTGGTTTGAAGACGAAATTGAAAGAGTGCAAATGATGATGCTGAGGAAGTTCTGGATATCCCTTGATCGATGTAGAGCAGGGGTGAACAAGGTTTTTGGGCCATGGGCCAATAATTTTGCTCAACTAAACTGGCGGGCCATGTGAGTATGACAAAAAAAGTAACATTTTATGAACAATATTTTCAGTGTTACAAAAGTAAAAGTGGACAACAATAAGCCTTGTGCCGAAACTAAATTTAATCGCAATCTCAACAAATTCCTTGAGCTGTTGTTCTGCTGAAACATCAAAATTCGGCAAAATCAGCAATAATATTAAAGTGTTACAATCTCGACAAAATTACGTAATTAAATAAAAATTTTATATGTTAGACATCATATTGATCTGGTTACAAAATTCTATTTGCAAAGAGGTCTTGTAATTAGAGCTCGACCGATATCACTTTTTGACACCAATATATCCGACGTCTAGTGGCCGATAACCGATTTAATATAAATCATATTTCGAGCCACAAAATGGCTTTTATTATGTACCTCGTAAGTCTGTAGTTTCATTTTGATATTTCATATCATTGCAGTAAGATTTTTATTTACCTAACTCCAGTTAATGCTTGAATGAATGTTATTCTGTAACTTTTCCTGTGACTTCAATATCAGTCTAGCCTTTTCCAGGAAAAAGTATTGTTAATCTGACGTTTTAAATATAACTGTGGCCGTAGGCATATGTTAAGGGTATTGGAAAATTATAAATTGATATATTTTAAAGTGAATCGTGATAATGATAAATTCCTTCGATATTGTGATAGCATATGTGCAATTACATGTGAAATTTTTAATAACTATGTTTCTAGAGACTCTCAATACCTTATTCAGTGAATTATAATGAATTAAGGTTTTTTGTGTGATTCTCAGCAAAATGATAAACAACCATCAATATTGACAAAACTGTTACCCTAGAAATTCAAAATTTAATTTGGGAAGGTCACAAATTCAGAACTACTTTGATGACATTGTTGCTTTGAGCTACCTGTACCATGTTTTTGTGATTACTAACTCACCAGCTTCAAATCGATTCTATTTATAGAAACACCGTTTTCTATTGATACTAAATTTGCCTTTTTCTCATTGTGCACTCTCTCGAAAACATTCCTCTGGATAATAACTTTTTAGTTATGACCATGCATGAAAGGACTTATCATGTGCCGACAGGAATTAGGAGAGACACTTTTTTAACGCAAAATGAAAGCGAGAGAAATATTGGGAAACAAAGCAGTTATGCAGAGGCGAGAGCCGTTGAAGCACGCATCCCGGAGTGCTGTTTTGCTGTCGAGTATGCCCGATATATATCGGCGGTTTATTTATCCGTTATATCGGCCAAGCTCTACTTGTAATACTTTGACACACCGCACTCATGCACACAACTGTGCAGCTTGATTAGCAATAAAAGATTTGTAACACAAATTTCTAATACTTTATGAACTGAGCCAATAATATATTAACTAGATGTAGCTCATATCACTTTACCGTCCACTTCCTCTTCCGGAAAAGAAAGAACAAAATCAGTATGTTTTGATAAATCAAAATCAGCTTTCACTCGTGTTGATGTCAGGTTTATTAAATTAAATGGTATTGTGACAGTTGAATTGCAATAGACACCGCTGAACTTGAATGCCTGGAATGTATTAAAGATCAATCAAGTACTAAGAATCTTGATCAGTGGTTCTCAAATTTTTTTTGGTCCTCTCCCAATTTTTTCGCGGTCCACTAAAGAATTCAGAATAGCAACGCATTATATCAAAAGTATTCAAAAGTAAAATGGGGCTTCAAGGTTCACCTAAAATTGCTTCATGGGCTCATAAGCAACCGCGGACCTCACTTTGAGAATAAGCATACAAAATTCTATTCTATATGGGAGAAAGGGTAAGAGAAAAAAAAACAAAAACAAGTCTTATTTGGTTTCAGTGTGGTACAATCTAGACATTTAAAATTGAGAGGGTATGTAAAGCAAGGACCCCAGCAGCCTAGTCACTGTATTCATGTAACTACTGCGTTTAATAATTAATCAGTGTAGTGTCCACAGCTAACTAAGAAAGTACAAGAGATATAGACAAACAGGATCTTTGTAAAGTTTTGCACAGTAAAATTACATGACAACACAAATTTACAAACTGTTTGTTAGCAATATGCAGTGCACAAATCAGTGTAAACTTAATAAAAAATTGTGCAATACAATAATATCAGATGAAATGGCACCTTAACATCAATATCAACAGCAGGTGGATCAACAGTCCCACCCATTCTCAAATCAATTGTTTTTGATCCACGAATATTAACTCGTATCCAAGTGTCAAACTTCATTGCAGCTGTTGGTTGCAGGTATACCTTTTAGAAAAAATTCGATGATGACAAATTATACATAGCCTACATGATAATGTATAATGATAACAAATCTGTTTCCTCAGACATGCCCCCACTGTTCATAAACAAAAAGGAATAATTTAGAGTTAAACTCGTCTTTTCTTACTAATTTGGTCAATATGCTATTTAAACAAATTTAAAAAAATGTGTTTCAACACACATAATATTAACATATTAGTGCAAATTTAATTCTGCACATGAAGCATTTGACAATTAAAGTTCTGCGACCGGAATGTTTTACAATCCGCATTGAGAATAACCGAAGAGTTTTTATTCGGATATGATATTGTAAGGATATTATCAATTCTCTAAGACTAAGCGTTCTGTAACAGCACAAAAAATATTATATGAGTTCCAGTTGTACTTTGTTTAAATTTTTGTTTGCATAGAGTACCATCAGCATATCAATAATGCTTTATCATGGTAAACAAGCACTAAAATGTTATAAATACGATGATAAGGTATTGCTAGCTATAGAATATATGATTACAAAAGACCAAGCAAAGTTGGCAGATATAGAAAAAAAATATATGTCAATATAAATGAAACCAACCTTCAACTCTGTATTTCCACCCACCGGAACCACACCATGAACAGGTGCAACAGTCATCCCAGGGAATGGATTTGAATTCACTACATAAAACAATGCATGGTTTCGTCCGGAATTATGTAGAAGTGCAGTACGGACTGTTCTCATATTCAACGGTACACTTCCAAATTGAATTCGACGCTCAACAAACTATAGGTGTTTGATCAATTTGTTATTTTACTTTCAATAAATTCTTGTTTTTCAATAATTCTAAATGCTCACAACAGAGTAAAATTGGTTAAATAACTTACATATATTAAAGCTGCAATAATGCAATTTCAAAAAATTCTAAATTTGTTTATCAGTTGTTTTAAATGTTCCATATGAAGAAGGTGCAAAACAAGCATCCAGTTATACATTAGGAAAAAGCAACCAGGAATTAGTGAAATCTTCCAATTTCACAAAACAATCATCATTTTACAGAATTTTTGTTTTGAAATGGGCTTTGAACAGCAGTCAATTATGTGAAACATTCTTTCAGAACAACTCTAACGACAAACAGTCAACCAAAAACTAGTAGACATGCAACAGATTTAAAAAATGATTAGAACCTGACATCTCTACTCAAAGCAAGTAGTTTGGTAATTAATGAAATCATTAGTCATTGGTATTTGCTTTTAGTCACCAAGATTGCAAGTTTAATTTAGTACTGCATCAATAATATTTGTGCGGTTCTTCATTAAAAGTAAAAAAAGACCTGAACATTTGCTGCCCCCAGTTTTGCAACACATGACAAATGCATTGAATTCCCGTTATGAACTTGTAAATGAAAATTTCCCTCCAAGGGTGCAAAATAACTCGGATGAAATACAACCTGAAGAAAATAAGCTGGTTTATCAACAGTAGTATGTTCATACTCGAATAGCCTGTTATGGTAAATTTTCTGAGACTATTCTCCATAATGCTTAGTTGACTTTTCAGGAAAAGTAAATTTCTAAGTTGCTTATAAATTATTGAGAATTATTCAAAAATTGTAAAAACTGTTTGAGTTTATGAGAAGCAAAAGATAACTCCTGAGAAAAAAAAAACGAAAATGGTGTATCGCATAACAACATAACTAAACCATTCCTGAAGAAAATTAAACTCTGAAGATCTTTCCTATTTGGAAAAAAATATATCCTTTTATATATAAAATCTAAATCTACCTCGCATTTCAAGTCCTTATAAGCTTCTACAACACCGGTAGCTGGTCGAACTGAAAATGCAGTTCCTCGATCAGTGAGAATTGGTGACCAGGTGAATTCAGCACCGTAATTTCGACGATTATATAAAGTCACGACCGATCTGTAATACATACCAGGGCAGCTGACTTGTAAATGTGAGAACTTGCCTGTGTACATTGCTTTATATTTTGATAACTATTTTACATCCTTTGCAGATTATAATTAATACAATTTAATAAAGGAAAGATCTATATTCATCTCTTATGCTGCAATCTAATAGTGGATATCTCAATGCTTACCTATACCCTGCTTCAGCAGGCATCCCAGGTGTTGGCTCCAATTCCAATTTATTCGAATTCAATTCCAATGCAACAGGAACAACAGTACCAAGAACGAGTATGTGGCTTTCATTTTGGTTGTTCACAGTATAACTGTAAATAAAACAGGTGAATACAAAAAAGACTTTACATACTACTTTTAATAGGTTACATGTACCATGACAAAACCTACACAATAGATCTTTGAAATCTTCCCTCAACACTGGATTCAAAGACAAGACTCAGTTGGGCTTTGGAGCCCGGAGGAACAACTTGTGATAATGGTGACGTCTGACGCAATTCTCTGCAATCTATTGTTACCTTCACAAATAAATGGAAGTTTAAAAAAGTTTGGAATGTAATGTTAATTAAAAAACTATACAAACCAAACAAATGTTCAATAAGTAATAATTCATCAACTATTCCTTGATAGTTTTTAGACATGTGACAAACTCACTCAAAAATGAATGTGTCAGTACTTTAATTGAGTTACTAAAACTAAATTTTACCGCTCAAGTATCATGTTTGATAGGCCATCATTTTAGTCATATTTTCAAGCTATTATTCAAAGGAATGCTCTATACAAGCAGCCATTATTATGTAAGGATTTTTCAAAGAATCAAAATCTTTCTGATCCTGCATTAACAAAGTAATTTGTATCACATTGGCAATGTGGGGATCATGAAAATTGATCCTGACGACAAAATAGATAGGCTCAATAAATTGATAAAAATCAAACCTGGACATGAATATGTTGATCAAGATTGTTGATGATACTTAATTGCTTCATATTTGTTGAACGTAGACAAACTTGACCAAAGTCAATGGTAGGTGGACCAATTATTATTTTGTGCAAATCCTACAAAATATGAAATGTATTATCAAATAAATATTAAAACCCCATAAGATGATATATGTGACTCAACAAAATTTCTTTTGACTGGAACTATATCCTTTTCAACTCAGTTTGGCCATTGAAAAACAAACTTTCTAATTATATAATTGTTAACGTATGTATCAAACTAGCTTGGATTTTCAATAACCCACATACAAAATTTCTTCCTATTTATATGTAATATAATTACAATTTTAGAAAGAATCTCTAAATTTACCTGGGGTGTAAGCTGCTGCCTACAATCAACTTTTTCATATTCAGTTGTTGGTACAGCATTCAGGCCATCACTAACTGGTCGTGCCGCAGTATTACGTTCTTGATTTGCAAGTTGTCTTGTTGTTAACAACCTCAATTTTTCAGAAACTGCAGGATTTGGTTTGGTTCCTGAAAAACATGTTTTCATATTTTCAGTAAGCTGACGAATTAAAACAAAGACACAGCGTGTTTCCTAATGTCAAAAATGTAATATTGGTTCCTTAAAAGTAATTGAAATATTCAAAAATGCTATTTGTATATTGACAAACGCAATGCGGGTGGGTAGGAATTTCAGCCATGATCATCCAGTGGTTGGTATAAAAAATCCTAATAAATCGATCTCAATTCACAAAAATCAGAAACTATTTCGCATGTGATCTTCCAACACTAAAATCAAATGTCATTCTGTTTATAATATTTATAAACATCAAATTCAAAGAGCAGCTTTACAATGTCTATCAACAAAAATAAACAATTGGGTTGGCTATGTTGATTGGTTGAGGTCTTTTTCAAAAAAAAACTCGACATAAATCATCTGTTTGCCAATAATCATACTTCACATGCTTAGCCAACTTGAAAGTTGTTCTCATTCAAGTGCCCATCCTAATCTCCATCTATTAGAAACAATATTTGTCAACAATCCTGCCCAGACAAAAAGGATTTAAAAATTACTTTTGCTCTCGATATCTTTGGATGTCAGCCGTGGTGGTTGTAAACCAGCAGCTGGTTTTAATCCAAGGTCAAGATTGTTGTTGTGTGTTTTGAATTCCCTGAAAAATATAATATATTTAACTCTTATAGTTTGATCGTCGACTGCATAGTTTTTTTTATTAGTGGGTGACGTGTCAATCTGATATGATGAATTCTCATTTTAATTGGAGCATCATCAGTTCGTAATAATTTTTTTTGCAAGTTGTTATTTTTTAAAGTTTTTGTCGAATATTTCATTATTTATATAATATGTAACATCAACATGCTTCGAAAAAGAAACTTTACTAAGCATAATATTAATATATTAGGCAATGGTTAATAATTGTGATTTGGAAGCAGAACTCGAAGGAGAAATATCAATGATAATATGTATACCGGTAGTCAAATAGTTTACACAGTAAAAGGTTAAAGGGAATGATGGTAACCTTGAGTTTATGATCAAAGGTCACTCAGTACATTTTCAAACTTGGTTAAGTATAATTCATTACTAACAGCTTTTGTATGCACCATAATGAAATTTGATATTCACTGTTTAGGAAACAAGCAAAATCATGTCTGTGATAATTGTGGTGCCGAAACAAAAATTTGCTTGTCTGCTTTTCATCTGATTTGAAACCAAATAAAACATTGGCTAGAGATAGAAATCTCAGATTACTAGAGTTCTAAAATAACATTTATTTAACAAAAGAGCCAATTATAAAATAAAATTCGTTTTACGATATGATAATATCTGATAAGCATAAATGAAATAAATAACAACTCTAGAATGTTAAAATTTTCTGAAATTTACAGACCATAAGGCACACTTTAAATCCTTTATACTCAAAAATTGATCATGCACATTATAAGTCATTATAAGATTCATGCATATTATAAGGTGCACCTAATGTATGGATCAGGTGGTGCTTTAAGCTTTATTGCCTACACTCAAAACCTATACCGACACTATCTTTTATAAACAAACAGCCATTTTCTGTTTTCTTGTTTAATGAGCGCTGTAAAGTGACGTGATACACGCTACGTCTTATAGCCTTATGATCCATAAAATATGGTAGATCTATTGTTGTCTCAAATTAAAATCCTATCATGCCATACTTAGCATAATGATTGGCTTTTCTATTATCAGCTCCATTTCTGAGAAACTGAACATATTTCTCTTTGTGCAATTTTTTTTTCAGTTCTTCTTCTTCAGTAAAAGCATAATCAGAGTCAACATAAGTGTGGCGTTTTGTTTTAGTAAATGGAGTTCGATATTCCACACTTCGCTCACTTGGCCGAATACTTCTTGCCCTGATTTTATACAAAGATTGAAAAGTAATCATATTGGCAGATACAGATTGATAAAAAATTTACCGGGAATAGAATCTATCTTGTTATCACAGTTTCTCTAACAATATTTTTATTATTGATCAGCCTCCATAAAAAACATATTTGATGGAATTTCTTTTTAGTATTTTAATTTAATAGGCAAAACACCAAGAAAATTATGGCAATGACACTTACCCTCACGTTTTAAGGTTTGAGTTATATTTTTGGAACTTAGTAAATATTGCTGTTTGGCCTTTCACGAATTTTAATTCCATAATATTTTCGATGTAACTGGATATATGTGGATGGCAATGAAATCGTCATGATGGCTCAATTTTTTTGAGGCTTTATTTTGCTTCAAATATCTAATATTTGCTTCAAACTAAGCTCTATATAACACCGACATAACAATTTACTAAAATTAAAAAAGCAAGCAAAATCTGCATACACCTAGAAGATAATGAACATTATTTATTAATTAATGCACAATAATATGTCAGATTATTTCTAAACTAAAATGCCATCGTCAATTCTAGTCACAAACCTGTCATTTGGAAATGCAATAAAAGCTGATCCAACATTTTTCTCATCTGCATGAATGTGAAGACCTGTAGTATTAGCTTTCACCATAGAAACTCGTGTTTGAGATTTGTGACGATTTGATTTATCGAATGTTATATCAACAAATTGTCCAGTTTCATTGGTAATGAGAGGAGTAATTCCTGGATTCAATCTAAAATAAGTGCAACTATTTATCTTTGATACTTAAATGTATTACAGTTTAAAAAAAAATACTAAATTTTTTTTAATCAAATCTAAACCCTACTTGATTGAACATTGTTAACATTGATTAGCCTATATATCAGTGGTTCTCAACCTTTCACGGCTCGTGGCCCCCTTCCGGAGGCTTTTTGCACTCGTGGCCCCCCTGTTCGTCATTCTAAAAAAATTGATGTGTTAGATTGTATTATGTATTTGCGACCTTTTATAGAATGCAAAAACAAACCATGGGTAAAAAAGTCAATACTTTTTAGATTAGTGAACGATCATTGAAAAACTTGCGCTGAACGATCATTGGAAAACTTGTACTGGAAATCTTGTAGATTTTGCTTTGTTGGTAACAAGATTAGAAAAAATAGATTCGCACAGATAGGTTGTGGTAAATTGAACTAGCAATGAAGAAGCTTTCTTACTAAGTAGTAGGTAAGAATCACCAAGGAATACCCAGAAACTCGAAAAGTCTTCTTTGCTTGATTTCAAAGCAAACTTGTTAGCATACATCGGCAGCCATGTCATCAATAAAGTCAAAGCCAACATAACTGTCGTTCCATTTGGGGATTGGGAATTTACATATTAGGCTTCTGCAGTTATACCATGATATCTGCCGTTATCTCGCAGTCTCGCGAAACTGCCCGTCTGCTGTTAGATGGCCTACCAACAAACTATTCGGATTAGTAGATTCAAAATTCCTTTATGATCAAACAATTCGCACACACAAAAAAGTGAATACACCTAGTGACTGAAGTAATAAAACTGAGGTGAACGGGGAATTTTCTTTTGAATGAAAAGAATGCAAACGAAGTCGCTTTATAATAAATTATTAGCCTTGTGTCGTGGCCCCCCTTGAACTGCTTCGTGGCCCCCTTGGGGAGCCCCCGGCCCCCGGTTGAGCACCACTGCTATATATCATCATAATTCGAGAAGTTGAGTGCGACTCAACGATGATTTGAGAATGTATAAGAAGGTATATCGTGCACACAATTGACTGTTTCAACTTGAGTGACTATAGAATAGTCCAATTCAGCATAATATGTGGCGTAGACACATAAAATTTTGGCGATTTGCAAATGTTACAAATATTTATGAAAATGTTCAAATCTAAGGATTAGGAAATATCTTGGTACAGAATTCTTTCAATAACCCTTTTGGTTGATTCGTTGGCCCAGCTTTATTTAAATAACATGATTGTACTCTGTAAAATAAAATCACTGGGACGTAAACAGATTAAAAATATTTTGATTGTTCAGATTTAGTATGTGGAACACCTCACAGTCACACTAACCTCGCTGTTTTCTTCTTCAAAGTGGCAACAGCAGTACCGACATACTGAATCGGAATATCTTGAAATTTTCTTGAAAATAATTTGGGTGTTCTATCATACATATTTTCATCAACAAGAATTTCCCCCATAACATCAATAATTTGAATTGGTTGAAAAGTACCCGCTTGATGAGGTTGAAATGTAATGAATATATCCTGAATATAAAACATGAGCATCGAAACAAAACATTGAGAGAATTCTTGTTTTCAAGTTTGGAAGTGCAAAAAAAATAATAACAAGCGGCATCTTGAAAAATTTATGTATATTTGAAAGAAAAATAAAAGCCATGCAGTTTGTTAATAATAAATCTTGTTTGAACTAACTAACCAGTTTTACCATCTTTCATGTACACAGTCTGATTAAAATCTCGTGGCATGGTTCCGAACCTTGATCATTGCATGAATTATTACAATGACAAACAAATTAGCTGCTAATCTAAACTTCATGAAAACCTAAAAATTAAAAATTAATTCGGACCTTGCTTCTTCCTGCTGGAATTATGCCTTGCATTGGTGCTACATCAAAATGCGCTACTTTCCGAAACTCAACGCGAAGAGGTAACAATGTAGATTCATTGACCAAGGTACAAACAGCTTTAGAGGTTTCTCCACATGGTACCTCTTCAAAATTGAAAATATTGCTGGGTTGAATGTTTACTAGCACAGGAACAGCAGTTGCAGTGACAGCAATTTCAACTTGTCGTTTTGCTAAAGATAAGTTTATATCATAACAAACTGAAGCTATATGTAATAAATGCAGGAGGGAAATCAATATCATGCAATTTGCAATCATGTTTAAGTTATAAGGGCTACTGATGTCTATTTCATATGTATTCAACCGTAAAAGCTTAAGTTAGACAAAATAGCACTAAAAATTAATTTATGCCAATGCATGTCCAACTGAGAACTGTAATGATTTCCTCTTTCCACGCAAACTTCTACAACCTTATTTCTTAATAATTCTCAATTGTGTTGACCAGATATTGCATTATGATATGATGAAACCCTTAGGTGATGCAAAATATACTCACATTTTTTGCTTGGTGAGAGAAAGCTGTCGTTACTACCAACCATATCAAAAGACATGAATAAAGCAAAATCTTGTCGTGGTGGAGGTTTTTCACATGCTTCCCATCCAACTGTAGAACTGTTGAATCTTGGACTAAATCTGAAATGACAATCATTTTAATTTAAAATAAAGTACGAATAAAAAATATTAAATAGAATACTGAAAATATATAGATAGAAATTCATGACACACAATCAGTACAAAGTTGTTAATATGAAGTTGTATCAGGTGTATGTATCAGCTCATATAATTATGAAAATTTGTATTCAGTTTCACTAGCCTAATGGCTAGTATTTCTGGCTACCCTTTTGAAAAGAATAATGTTTAATGTTTTAAACTGTCACACAAAATAAAAGTATTTGAGAAACCATTGCCAGAAGGGAACAGATTGAGCAGCATAAAATGAAACATATTTGATTCAAAAAATAAAATGGATAATGCAACTTTGTCTCTATTTTAAAGCTAGATTTACATAGTCATTGAGAACCCTTTGCTACATTTCGATTAAATTAAAAATTATAAACTCCATTTCATATATATATATATAAAATACCTGAAGAAAACAGGAACCTTTTGGTAAGGACCAATTCTTCCTTGATTTGGAATGACAGTAACAAGCGAAGTCAATATATCGTAAGCTTTTCCACGAATTCTCTCCATTGGTGATGTTGCTAAGGTTGCAGCCGTTGACTTTGTAAGATCTGTTCCCTGGTAATAAAAGAAAATTTTTGAAAGAGGAGAAGAAAAAGTTTTAATTGATGAACGATTACAAAAGAGTATAAGGTAAATGTTAATTAACATACGAAAGGAATACCAACTAGTATATAATGATAATTTGACTAAAAAAAGGCTTTCCGGAAGGCCCTAATTTAGGTCATTTTTGCAATAAATTTTCACAGTACATATAGTAGATAAACTTTCTAGCTTTTCAGCTTTGAATAGCTCATTTAAGGTTTTTCACAGACACTTAACAACTACTGCAGGTAGTTTTTATTAGTCTGCTCAGATATTGAAAATAAGAACTTTTCGTCACCTATAGGTATTAATTTTACTGTTTTGCAAATCTCTATAGATTTACAACGATTGCAATGTGATTGGAGCGGACTGCTACCACTCGATATTTCTGTAAATTTTGTATAACATGTAGACAAAAGGGCCTTCCAGAAAGCCCACTGTTTTTTTACACTATTATAATTATTTTGGCCAAATCGAAGAGTACAGGGCTTTAAATGAAAGCGAAATAAGTTGTAGTTGCAAGCCTAAGGATTACTAGATAACATAGTCATTATCTTTTCTTCATATCTCGAATAATCGGCAAGTTACCTAGTTTATTGAACAGAAAATGTGATTAATTTTTGTTGTTCCGGTAACAAAAAATATCCGGTAACAAAAATAATTCCAGGCACTTATTTTAGATAAAGCATGATTTCATGTTGGTTAATTGATTTATTTGGAAACAAAATGCAATACGGAATGTTTAACCCTTTCCGTGCGGTGGGCACGTATACGTACCCACGACAAAAGTCGCTAGATTGCGGCGGGTACGTTGATGTACTCCACTGTTTTATTTAGCAATCGGTCGCAAACTGTTGGTCTAGTTTTTCCGGGTTTTAGTTTATTGATAAGAAGTCTTCTTGAGATTAACATAAGCGACGGTAAATCTTGCTTTTGTTTACGACGAGAATTTTATTTGCGGCGGAACGAGGGAGTGATTTTGAAATTTATGCAAATTTCGGTGTTTTTTGGGTGGTAATAGAAGACATATTCTCCCTTCCATCTACCAAAGTATTTTGAGTTGGATCACGAAATTGCCATAGCAATATTATGCTATTGTTTGCCAACCACGAAGCGGTAACAGTAAAGGATTTAGCGAATATTTCTATTTTTTATCACGATTTGAAGTTTCAACTCCCGAGAAAAAAAATGCTCTTTTTCTATCCGGTTTGTGACTCAGACCACCACTTTTAAAAAAATTTTTTTTTTAATCGCCAATTGCAAGCTCTCTAAATAAGCTTTCCAACGAGCCGTCAGTGGGCAGCAGAGGATCATTAGTTTTTCGTTAGTCGATCGATTAGTTGTGGGGGTACAAATGCATAAAATCAGCGTAGCAAATACGATTATTTAATAAAAAATAAAAATCGCATGGAAAGGGTTAATGATATATAAAATTTGGATATTATCAGAAAAAATGGTAGGGCCTTCCGGAAGGCCCTATAAAAATAACCAGTTGTAGGTATCGATGTGGAATCTTAATGTTAAGAGGAAAGCCAGTTTTTTTCGATGGGAAGCCAAAATTAAACACAAATTATCATTTTTTTTGTTATAAATTATCATAATAAATATATTTGAGTTGAGTTTAAGCTATACAGAAGGATATTTCAAATTCAAAAGTTGTTGGATACAGTATCATTACAATTTGTGGTTGGATGTGGTTTCTGGGTTAATAATTTTCAAGTTTTTGAAGAAAGCTAGAGTGAAATTTTGTAATATTACATTGTGATATGATATTACAGTGTGTAAAATAAACTATAAAGATTTATTAAGACTCGGAGTTTCAGATGAAGAAAACATAGAACTCATGGAAGATTTGAATTAGGAAATCCTGTTGACCATAGCAATCCAGATGAGGTTGATCTAAATGCAGAGAGTAGCTTTGGTTTGAATGAAAAAGAACCAAACAGCAGTTTAGGACTAGGTAGCACCCAAAAGACTAAAAGTTAGGACTCAGAATTTTAGAAATAAAAAAAAGTCAGTGGAAGCGCTAAGTGCTATCTTAGAATGCAGAATAGACTGTGAACTCACTCAGTGAACTCAATGAGATGAATGTTTTTTCATTCTCATACAAAGAAACTGATAGTCTGATTAAGACTTGATACAATCCCCTCACAGCAGAGAATGATAGGCAAAGCTGGGACAGAGCGTAAGAGCCAAGGTTGAATTATGAATGGTGTAGCAAGTCGCCCATCTGAACTTCTGAATTTTTTTGCCGATTGATTTTATAAAAAAGTAATTTTAGCCAGAAACGAATAAGAATGGCATTCATGGAAATATTCCTAGACTGCAAGTAGTAGAAACCTTTTTGAAATCTACAACTTAATCATTATCATGTGCCTACTGGATCCTTTGGTTTCGATGATATGTAATTGACACACGCTCGTGAACACTGTTAATTTAGAGCAATATGGGTTTTCTACTAATAAATGCCCATCTTGTAATGTCATAGTTCATTAATAAAGACAACATATCAACCAAATCTTGCATGGCATTCTTCACATAGCAAGCAAACATTTCAGATTCAAAGTTTTATTGTCCTAGTATGCAGTGACATTCAAGGAGTGATTGTCGTTCCATTACCAAAAATCAATGCCCAGCTTGCATTTGGGGAACACCTTCCCTCTTCTCAATAACAGAAAATGTAACTTTCTATATAGATTACTTGACCTAAAATGATATTACTTATTGATTTGATAGCAATACATTCTCTAATCACCGAAAATATAAGTTTTTTATGTTTTCAGATACCAGGTCCTAGGGTCTTCCGAAAGGCCCTTTTCAAAAAAAAATTTGAAATAGTCTCCCTCCCATCATGTTGTGTGTGTTAGTATTACTTTTCAAAGTTTTTTTTTTGGTATTAGGTATCTGTGTTCTGGGTTTTTAGAAAAAAAAATGTACCTAAATAAATATAGTTAAACAAGAATCCATTTTATAAAACTGATCGTTTAGAATTTTTGATGAAAAATTTTGAATTTACCAAAAAAATTATATTTACAGTTTCTTATGTTAGCATATTTAGTTTTTTAGTGCAACAACATGTGTCAAGAAATTCCTAAACATAAAAAAACCATATCACAAAGGTTTTTTTATCTGGGAAAGAGGGGTTTTGAAAAATTGATTTTTATCAATTTTTTCAAAAAATGGAAATTTTTATTAAAAATAAATAGGTCAGTGATAAAAAACTAAACTATTTCATAGAAATTCTAACCCATGATTGTATTCATCATAATAACTGGGAACTTATTTCAACCATACACTAAGGAAAATTTAAAATAAAATTACATGAAATCAGGTTCCAAAATGATCTGATTGAAAATGCCCTCCGGAAGGCCCTTTGTCGAATTATCAATAAAAAGAATATACCGTACATGCATAAAAGACTTTCATTAAGATATAAGTGTCATGGCAGGCTGATCCTGCGAACTTCGAGATATAAAAAAAAGTTTGAATAGCTAACAAATGATTTAATAATCAACAAAATTATATTACAAAAGTTTTCAACTCACAGCTTCTTCTCCATCAGCTCCTTCCTCCAACACAGAAACCCATTTTATATCCTCAGGTCCATTGTTATATAGAATAGCCTGCTCAATTCTATCTGTACCATAATATGCAGGACCAAAACAAACACATTTGAGAGATATTCCCTCCCTCGATAACAATTCTAAACCTTGTTCTACAATACATCCTTTGATTTGCAGTTCTGAATCTTGCAAGCCTTCAAGTTTGACCCTTTGGTTTAAAAAAAACGAGAAGGGGTTTATTCCGGGAAGTGAGAGGTGTGATTAAGATGGCAGTCGCATAGCAATTTTTAAAAGCTACCTAAATTGCAAAAAAAGATAAACAGATGTATAATTTAAAACACACACTTACTTGGCCATTTCATTCACAACACATGGATTTTCAGTGACAAGTTCTACTTTAATCAGTTGAATTGTTTTGGGGTTGACTTTTCCACTAGTGGGAACAATCACAATTGGGAGATCACCATTGTAAGAGATCTTAAATTCGCCTGGCATAGAGCCATGGTTGATCAAAGCCACTTCTTGACTTAAAACTTTGCTGTTGGCAACAACCATGCCAAAGTCTACTGGGCCTTCCAAATCCAGCAGAGGAGTTGGCATATATCTGAATTAGAATAGAATATTTATTATTTAACAATAAATGATAGCAATTAACAAATAAGAGTTACATCACCATTTTGACAAACCATGATCTTTATACCACATTTTCCGGCTGAAAAGTCTACCTGGCAAATAAAACGAGGCCAATTTGAGAACCTAAAATGGGTGTTTTTCATTATAACTGCCGAATAAATCGGGCAGAAAAAGATTATCTTTGTTTCACTGTTCGTCAGTTAAGCACCAATGCACGCTTTATTTTACTCATTTTTCATCAGTCTGTTAGAACCAGGTCGTTTTTATTGGAGTAGAATCATATCTATAGAATTAACTATTCTGCCAAACAAAGCCATGACCTGAAAAGGTAGCCACAACTATTCTGAACAATCCAACTTAACGGTTGCAACAGCCTGTGAATATGGTGCTAAAATCATATGAGGTTTTAAATCATTTTATCACCTGGTCACTATTCTCTTTTTGGAATACAGATATTAAGCATAAATAGGGATTGCTTCATCGCATGAGGTACATTATGATTGCCAATAAGTTTTTAAAAATAATAAAAACAAATTACAGCTCGCAGTACAAAGTCAAATAACAGAAAACATGATTGTCAGACCATGTTGCATGGAATGCATTACAGAATAAATCAACCCAGAGATAGAGTAAACAAAAATTATGCTTGAGAAGGCTCATGAGTAAAAACAAGGCGACCCCGGAAAAACAAAAGAGGCCTAGTCATTACCCAAAAAGATGAGCCCAGAAAAACAAGTCAAAAAATTGGAAAAATGTGGTAGGTCTTATATTTAATTCAATGAGTCGCTGATTTACTTCCATTCATTCATATATATATTAAACTTTTAAACATAAACAGGTATTGCATACTACAAACAGAGGAGAAGTTGAACATACGCGTAAAGTGGTATTTCAACAATATCATCGTTTACTGCTAATATCACTCGATCTCTGGCATCTTCCGCGACATCACTCACATATTCAACTGTTGCCAAAATTTCAAGACCTGGAGCTACTGGTTTTGTTGGATTTTTCACACTCAGTCGGAATTTCTGTTCATAAAAAATAGATAACTATAAAATGTTAAACCTTACAATTTTCCCACATTTGTTCCCATTTGTTATTTAACAATTGATGACTGATAATCGTGCAGTGAAATGTGATAAAAAATTTCCACTCCATTTAAAAGTAGCTTTATTGGGCATTTTCTAAAATAAAATTTCGCTTCTAATGGGATACCGGTACTCCCTTCCATTGCCTCCATTTTTCTTGACATTGTTATCACAGGCGATGAATGAGAATATAACTTTGTAGTCAGAGAATGTTACTTAGTCAGAGGATGATTTGGCTCACTGTTTTTTTGGAATTGGGCTTGATGTTTAGTTGATGAAATGTACCAAGAAATGATGGATGACGGAGATGGAGAAAATGACAGAACATTTAGCGTATAAAAATGTAGTGACAATAACATGCTTTGGGTATCGAAATCGATTTTGCGTTTCCTGGGGTCATTTTGACAACTAGTGCTGTTTCGACCAAAAAAATTCTTCTTTTTTGATGAAATTTGACAAGAAGCGAGCTGTGGGTAAGCGAATCAGTGTAGATCGCATATGTTGAGTGAGAGCCTATCACGGTTTCTAGTTTGGCGAAAACAGGGGGTTGAAGGGTTGTGATCACAAATGTGACGTGATCTAAAAATGGGATGGATTAAAAAAGTCATGCATACACAAAAGTTTTTGTCATCAAAATTTTACTAAAAATACACTGTAATCTGCGTGCTGAATTTAAATAATTGTTACTTATCGATTTTAATCGGTAAGTATGTTGATAGGTATTTGTCTGTTACATGCACGCGATATCTCACGAAAGCGAGATTGAATCTGCTCCAGATTTTGCATGTGCATTCATCATATCTCGGACCAGAAGCCTATTGATTTTTGGCGAATTATGTCGTATAGGCCTAATTAGCGAGTTATTAATTAATTAGTGATGGGACACAAGGTGTCACTATGGAGTAAGAGCGCTGTTTTGGGCGATCCCTTAACTTTCGATCGATAAGTCTTCGGTCTCTGACCGATATTCTCGTTTATTTATTGTTTGGTCACAATTAATTTGAGAATTCAATTTTAAACAAATTTATTTTCCGCTGTATTTTAACTGCATGTTTGTTTTTCTCCTGTCATTGTTGTAAACTGTTTGTCTGAGGAAATCTGATTTTGGTTATACGAAACATTACAAAGATACATGTATGTTATTGTGCAGGGTTCTTGAATTGCATAGCATGGTCATGTTTTTTCCTGCTACAGCACCCTTGCATGATAGACATACGAATTCACTTACGCAAAGGCATGAGGAAGGAATTGGGAGTTAGTCTCGCGTAACATCTACTGAGGTATATTAGATTTTTCGTGTGACATCTGTATTGACAATGGATCCAGACTCGACAACTATTTCAAAAAACTTTGAAAGCAACCTAAAAAGCACTCCAACGACTTTAGAAAATCACTGTGAAAGAACCCCAACTCTCAAAAACTGAGCCTAGAACACATTAGGCCTGATTACTTGTCCATTTGGAATCGGTCACAAAAGAAACTATTTCACACTTCAGTATTTGGCGTGAAATTTCAAATTATATCATTTGGTCCGCATCATTGGACCACCTATCGAGGAGGTCTGGAAGTGAGCTGTTGTCATGCTACGAGAAATATCGTCGTTACGCAGGTTGATCGAAGGGGTACGGAAGTTGTTTTCTTTCTTTTTTTCTGGTAAGTGAGTTGCTTTTCAATGAATAAAAATTGAGCATGACAATGGCAAGTTCACTTTAAACCTCTTCTACATCTGTTGTGTTGCTGTTTGACACATATTTGAAATAGCGGTACCTGGTAGGATGCCGGTGCATCGTAATACCATGATAGGTTTTTGTTTTGAAACAAAAAATTATTTCTTATTGTAGCATAGATTTATAATTATAAATTGAGCAAAATACAAGCTTTGCTGATGAATTGTAGTTTGCAATAACAAAATTTAAGGAATTCCAACATGCTTCTTCCTAGTTCTGTAATTGGCACGGGTAACATAAACATGCTGGTAAAAATTTAAAACTTCAATGCCGATAAAGTCGCACTAGTAGAATTATATATAAGTTTATATATAATGAGCTTACTTCACACAAAATGTTTGGTTGACAAAACCTAATTGTTTGAATTTGATTGTTATGCTGACAGTACCGGTAACTTAGGCAGTATGAATACGCTCGCCACCGCATCTCTGATTATCTTTTGTGGGATCGCAGGTTCGAATCCCATGCAGTGCCTATGTAAACAGTGACTTATTTGCTCTAGCCAGGCATCTCTGAAACTTTCCTTATCTCGTTGGTTTGGACATGTAATCCAGGGTGCTATTTAGTCTCAGAGACCACTTTGGCTTTTCTGACTAAAACCGTTTCGCTGGACATGTAATCAGGCCCATTGTAGAATGTTCTAGTAAAACTCATCGCTGTATCGTGAGATCGAGTACAGCACGAAACATTTATTCTATGCTGAGTACCAATCGGGTATTTTTACATCGAAATCTGCCTGCTAAAATAAAAACTTGTTTATTCTTTGTTTGGTCACAATTCATCTGAGAATTCAATTATAAACAAATTTATATATAGAGCCGTATTAAAAACCGCATGATTGTTCTTTTCTTGTCATTGTTGTAAACCGCTTGTCTAAAGAAGTCTGACCTGCGAACCCGCGCAGAGTTTTTATAGGTGCGGTGGTGAGCGTATTTTTACGATGAGCCTCACCGCTGCGCCATACCATACCTGCTTTTTGTATCATAGAAATTGCTGAAATGAACTCAGAAAAACAAATTTCAATAATAAAAATTAGCTTACACTCGTTACAGGGGCATGAAATCGAATTCTTTTGCTGATCTTGCTAACATTTTGTACTTTCAAATCTGACGTCAAAATCTCTCCAACTGGTGCATCCACAAATTCTACGATTGGTGGATCAATACGAATACCAGCTACATCCCCATCCATACTGAGCTGCCGACGTCTAAAGCCCGCTAGGCATTGTAAAATGTCCAAGTTATGCAAATTCCACACTCGGATATAACTACAGCAAAAAAGCGCTTGGCAAATCAAAAAGCCAAAAGCGGCACTCGTTGCTATAGCAATATTACCTTTTCGTTGGAGCTATTCAAAGTGACTATAAAACAAGTGGTTCATCGAGTCCAATGATGCATAACGGACGTCATTTTGTGTCCATCGAATCGGGGGAACGCGGCAGCGTCGGTTTGTTTTAGCTTCGTCAGAACAATGACATTAAACAACATGATAGGCAACTCTGACGTCACTCCATAAGACTACAGGCGAAAGATTGTATTTCATGATACGCTTCAATGCACATATTTCTCGTCGCCTTTCGCGTCCGTTTTCCGCTCGCTTTTACTACTCGGCGTCTTTTTTACGTGTAGTACCTGCCTTTTTGCGCCTGTAACGGAACAAAATAATCTCTATATCTAAGAAGTTTTGCTCACTTGGAAAGCTGGAATGGCAGGCAAGCTGTGAAGAGCAATTCTGGACATCATAGACGTTTTTTTATCAGAGAAGATTACAAACGCGATAGCGGGAAGATTTGTGTGGAACATTTTGCAGATAATGACAAAGTTCAAAATTAGTAATTTTAATGTTTGCGCTTAATCATTGAAATTTCAGTTAAAGAGGGTGTCATACAAAACTGTGCTGTGATACAATTCCATAACACAAAGTTAGCACCTATCGAACTTGCTTTTGTAGGTGAATTTATTAGACATATTACATATTCAGTTAATCGTAGGTAACATTGCTGGTACATAATGCATCGTAGATAGGTTCGTTTAAATTTAGGAATTTAGCTCATAGCCCACTAATTAATATTATCTTCTATGCAGGAGGTTGCAGGGCTGGATTCAACTTGCAGCCTTACCGATCACCTGACGATGCTCATTTAGTTTGGCTCGAGCAAGTCTTCTTGAAATGCTTGTGTGGATGGAAAGTGGAAACTACCTATATTTTTTGCCTTCCTCCGATTTTAGACAAATTTATTCTGAGGGATTTCGCATAAAATTCTTATTGATTGTTGGCTGTTTATAATTCCTATTGATTGTGAATTCTGATTATAACAAAGAGTTAAAAAAAAATTTACCTAATTTACTGGCACCTTTTTCTTGTCAATACTTCAAGCTGAGGTAATAAACAAGACAATACATTTATGTCATCTGGAAGCAAAATATGCACACTAATTAATAGTTTGGCACATTGAGATAATACATCATGACAGAAAATACAAGTTAAAGATATGTATGACCATCACATGGTAATTAAAATTATAAAAAATTAATAGGGGCTGTGGAGTATGAAAAGTTCAAGACAAAGAAAAGAACAAATGTTCATAGCTCATGAACTCTCAATTTTGCCTCCATTGCCTTGTGAAGGCCAATATATTTCGAGTGGCTGAATTGGTTTACCTTTATGATAGCAACGATTTTGTATTTAATATAGCAAGATTATTTCAATTTAATTGGCGTGATATTATTTCCCAAAGCAATGCTTGAATCGTCTAGAATAGATCAGTGGTGTCAAACTCATGGGTTTTCGAGAGCCGCATTGCATTTTGGAAATTGTAAAAAGGGCCGCAAACAGTTTTTGATATTGTATACTTGAAAGATATTTTTAAGATAGTTTTAGTTTGTGACATGTATTGTGATGCAACTAAACAGTTGGATTAAGTTTTATTATTTTCTTCAATTTCAAATGCAATTACATATTGATATTTGCATTCCACTATTATTGCAACATTTGCAAGTTACTGTATTTATTATAAAAAATCATAAAATTCTATGTACAACCATCAAAATCATTTTTGAACAAGCTTTGGATAAGGAAAGAATAAAACATAACTTAATCTAAATATATGAACTTAAAATTAACAAAAATACTACAGTATAAACTCAATGTTTTAATAATTACATTTGTCCTGACGTTTGGCATCTTTTTTTTGTGTCACCAGCATACTAAGGCCAGGCTGAAATGATTTTATAGTACCAACTCTAACTAACGAGGCCACATGATCATGGGTTAATCTGGATCTTTGCGAATGTTTAATTAATTCCAGTAATGCAAAAAAGTTACTTTTATCATTTCATGTATAGATCAGTAAAAAAAAATGACAGATTTTTTCGACAAGACATTTCGCACCACATTGCGTGGCATAGGATTGCTTGAATTATTATTGATATTGATTTTTAGTAACCAAGTCGTTGTATAATTATATTAATATACAAACACATGGAAATTTTCTGTTCGAAGTTGGTCTTCGAATTTGTCATATTGACTGCTGAGCTTATTGTGTTTTTTCATTGTATTGATGGAAATATGACAAATTAAACAATGTGCTTCAAAGTTTTGTGGGAAGCAGAAATATTGCAACTCCCATTTTCTTCGAAAATGCCACCTTCTTCATGTACTTTGCGTTTAATTTAATCACTCAAGTGTTTTATTCAAGTATTCTTTTGCTAGCTTGATGTGTATTCTTAATTGGGTCAAAATGTGGACAAAAAAAAATTAATATTCCAAAACTACTTTCAGTAAATTGTTTTCTGTGTGGATAATCAATCTCACTTTAAAGGGTTTGAAAAATCTATTACATTTAGATAAAAAAAAACTTCCAAAATACTATTACAATTATTGTTAAGCGTTCGAGGGCCGCACTGGAAGTTTTCTGGGGACGCGAGTTTGAGATCCCTGGTCTAGATTGAAGTTGTCCAAAAAATATATGATAGTATTTTATCGTGAATGATGATTATACCCCTTCCGTAATTTCTTCTATAGTACTACCAAAAGTTGATGAACCAAATATAACACAGATGCAGTGAGTTACCCGTAATCCTCATTTTCCAAAGCTGTTTCAAGTATGCCTGGCGTGTTTTGTGCCTTTTTACAAATAAGACCGCTTATGCAATCTTACGCTTTGGAATTTTTAGTTCTTTTCCTCAAGCCCTGCAGGATGTGGGGGCCATACACAACTCTACCGGAGGGTCAAATGTCTATGCATGCCTCCATAGGTTGTTTTTCTATTGCAAACATTTATGGAGTACTCTAATTATATTTCTTGGAATCACACTGTCACTGATATGTCGCCAGACTTCTGATATCTCCCCTTCTGCTATAGTTGTCCTGTGAATAAATGATAGGAAATTAAGATTAGACGAATAGTTGAAAGTTTTGCTTTATGTCGGCTTAATTTCTTGATTGATATACTTACTATTTCTGCTATTACCTCTTGTGCTGCAGGAGTCTCACAATGCTTAGACAGGTTTGTCCACAACTTTCATATCTGAAGAAAGAGAGGAGATTTATTAATTTTCGTTAAGAATAAATAAAGCAGTCTATATGATTTAGAATGGAAAAGCTAATAAATCCGATATCTCATATTTTACTGAATTTGGTATATAAACCAACTAATAAAAGGGTTTAGTCAGAAAATTACAAGCATTCGCGGCTCCAAATACTTGAGAGATCAGACTATACAAGATAGACCGGTATGAGTGAAATGTTAGGTGAACTTGTTAACACTTTGATTCAATACGCAAATATAAGTGAATGAGCAATAGTATGTTACAATGAGCAGCAATCAACAATGAGTAAATATCCTCACTGATTAAAAAAATCTAACTGGAGGTGCATGAACTATTTGAAACCATAAAGGGTAAGTAAATATGTAATTTCGGCAAATGGGCAACCACGTACCGTACTGAATTAATAACTTCGTAGTATTTGACAAAGGCTGGCTTTCCCACATGTACTTAACAGTGCGATGCCCGGGTGTGATATACCACAATAGTATTTACCTTACCTTTTTCCGATTTCTTTTTACCTTAACTTTCCAAAATATCATTAAAATCGACAACAACTGTCGAAGCAGGCACGAACACCATTCGTGCTACGCCTTGAAAGCAGCACACATCCGCTCGTTTTCGTCTCGTCAAGTATGTGCATTGGAGCGTGCTATCGAATACGATCTTCGGACAAAAATGCCGGAGTTGCGCATCATGTTGTTTAATGTCATTGGTCAGAAGGTCTCGTTCGTCAATTTGTTTGAAGATTTTTTACTGTTTTGCATTTTATTGCTTTTTGCATTTTATTCGGAGATAAAATGTACCGATTATCATACAAAAATCGGCAAATTGAAAAGCGTGGATTTTTTTTAAAAACTTTTGAATTAAATAACAAAAACTTCGATTTGTTCTTGTTTTAACCTAATATGACATCGACACATTTGCAGAGGTTAAAGATAGCTTTCGAAATAAGATAGAATTTATCGTGCACCAGTAAAATTGTATAAGTTATTCCATTCAATGTTCTCCGATTCTTGACATGTCCACTGCGCCAATTTGAGTTAAACAACAACGTCCCCTAATTACTTCGTTACGCAATTACGTCGCAACGTTCCGTATGAAAAACACATATCGCTTTCATTCACAAGTGTGAAACGTCATTAACCTAATGCATACGTTTGAATCAGGTACTATTTGAACTGGTATGGACCTTTCCCCGACCTTTAACCCCCGAAAAAATCCTCTTATACTTTACCATTGCAAAATTTTCGGGGCTATTTTAAGAATGCTTTTGCGAGTTGGCGCCTGTAAAATGGGGTATGTGTTACAAACCATCATTATGATTCATCGCATACAACAATCTGTTTTTTAAAAGTACCGGTAAAGAATTTTAGCCTAGTCTATCACAACTATTTCTACACTAATTTTTTATTACTGCAATTAAATTAAAACTCCTAGGAAGACAAAGTGATCATTGAATTATCTTATTTATATTTAAGTTTCCGAAACACAACAGAAAACTAACTAATTATAGTCTATAGTCCCAATGAGCATATATACAATGAGTGGAAACTTGCAAAGATTTGCTCATTTTGGTATTGTTCCCTGCATTTTTACGTCGTCCAGCTAAATGGTTCGTTGCATATTAAGAAAACGCATTACTCGCTGCCAAAATCCCTTGCTTCAGCCGAGTCGGGTGCGAAATTGGCCGTATTGAGGTCTGTGATTCTTCAATACATATTTGGTTTTGGGTTTCGAAGTATGGTACGCTGAAAGCATACAACTATGAGCATATGC